GATCCATTTACAAGCTAGCCAGCAGGGCTAAGCTCAAGGGGTAGGCGCTCTGTTGATTTCTCATATCATCCCTGGTGGTGGTGGTACAATTGGTGACCGGTGTCCCCATATTCACTAACTTGCTTGATTTCCGTAAACAATGTTCTGCAAGCGCGAATCCTCGAAATAAGCTTCTGGAAGTTTGTAGCATCATATACCCAATATAAATTCGGTCTCTGTGCAGCTGAAATGTTGGTTTGGTAAGTCAGGCTTCGTCTCGAGGCCTGAGTGCCCTATTCTATCTTGCAATCTAATCAGATCTGGCACTTCATACACTTTCAGAAGTACAAGTACTATATACACCGCTAAATCCGTAACGTAAGCATGGATTATGTATATTTGAACAGTACTAGATGATTCACTGTATGGCATAATGCAAGTTATCTACCAGACTCAATAGTATACTGCAAGTCTTTTCTCGACCACTGTATATGTTTCTCTCGCAGCGAATCACGATGAGATCTGCCTTGTCTGATATCCCAGTCAGTGATGCTATCGAGGTCCACCATGAAGCTTTGAGAAATGGCCACAAGCGAGCAGCCTCAATCGCAATAGGAGAACCAATGTGTAAGTTGGCGAGGCATAATACGATACTCAGATCGTCAGTGAACTGCAGTATGGACAATCTAATGAGGGATAAGGAGGAGGCCCCACCCACTCGGTGGCTGGGGTCCAGCGCTAAACTAACGAGGGTTGGAGTGAAAAACCAACGATACGCCTACCCCTTGGCTAAGCTCGGCGACATCTTGAACTTAAATGGAGAGAACCCTGCTCTGGCAAGCAGGGAAGGCTCTACGCTCCTTGTGAATTGAATATAGAGTACGCGGGCAGCCGCCAGAGGCCATGCTATGTATCACGATCGGAAACACGTATGTCAGATGTTCGCTCTCATGCGTCATGTCTCAGATACATTGTTCGCCCCTTTTGTTTCATGGTCTCTGAACGTCCCACTCGAAAGGAGTCAGCTGACGTTGTTCGCTCTGGCTAGAGCAGTCTGATTGGCAGCGAGGCCACTATAGCTCGTCTTGTTCAAGCTCTGCTCGCGATGCCTACACCATGCAAGGCTTCTTCGACGTCTGGCTGTCGCGCTAGAACCACACCTGGTACGTGTAGGCGTCGATGGCCCGCACTTTGCAGCAGCGCGTCTCCTGTATTCGTCTGCAGATCTGTGTCTCTGCCTGCCGGATATTGCTCGCATGCACGATCTCGATCCCTCCCGCGCGCCTGGCACCCGTTCGCGGGGAAAGCCATGGGCCGAATTCAGCTGCACTGCCCCCGGGCGTCGAGCGCGGGCCAAGTGTGGGCATCCGTGAGTAGATAGAACGCCGTGCAAGCGCCGTCATGCCAATGATGCCATGCCCATATCCGGGCTGTGTCAGGCCTCCAGCAGAGGACGCTTATGGCAGTGCGGTGCATCGCCGGTGCACGGGCGCTGGCGCTCTGCTATATAGCCTCCCGCGCGCACTTCTCCGTCTCCAGCTTTCCACGTCTCGCAGCCCGACCACCCAGTGCGCACCCGGCCACAGAGCTGCACCGCCGCACGCCCCCGCCCCCTCGTCGAGCCGCCCCTTTGTCGCATCTCCCATATCATAGCGACCCTTCGCGCCCTGCAGCACCTGTATCCCGACGCCATGTTCTTCGCCACCTCCTCGACCCCCGTCTCGCACAACTCGGCCGTGACCGCGCCCGCATCTGCAGCGCCGGCGAGGCCCCCCGTGTCGCGCCCCAACGCACCCGCGAGCATCCGCGGCCTCGCGAGCTCCTCTGCGCCGGTGTTCTTCTGAGCACGCCGTGCCATGAAGCCCTCTGCCGGTGGGCGGCGTCGAGGTTTGTGAGCCTGTCCCACGCAGAGTTGCGCCGCATGTTGAGCCCCTCTCGCAGCACACGCCCGCCACCGCCATCGCTCACCACCATCTCATACTGATGACATCTGTCATCCGCGACACGACGCCCTCGCAGACATGGGCCATCCATCCGCATCATCGCTGCGCGCGGCGCGCCGGACCCAACGCAAGATCTGATCTCGACGCTCCAGAGCGTGATAATCTTAATCCGACATCCCTGATATCATTATGGCCCCCGCTATCCTTATTGGAAAACAGTCGCACCCCCGGACGTTGACATAGCCTATTATCTGCGTAGTCCGACGCTGCCCCCCTATTCTGTCTATCGTAGCGGTCTCTGTAGTACATACCTGGCTTTCTAATGCACGCATCCCTGCGGGGATGCTATCTCCGAGACGAGGCTGCCAGTGAGGCACCAGTCTGCCTTCCCTTGTTCCGCTTCGAGTACATGATGAAGGAAGCCGCATGGGGTGGGAACGCGGTGTCACGCGTATGACAGCAGCTTGATTGATCGTGCCTCCAAATTGTCTCTCGAGATACGGAGAAGGATGGACGAGAAGCACGGGAAGCCTCGGGGCTGGATATGGCTGCGCCCGTGTGTGCGTGTGTGCGAGATGCCGTGTGGACTGAGACAGGCGAGGAGGAAGTTGTGGTCTTCCGTGAGCCTGGTCGGAGGCGTGATTCGTCCGAGGACCACAGAACCGCGCTGCCGAGAGTCGAGTCAGAGCACCGCCGGTCCCACGAAGCAGTCGCGTTGCTCCGACTCGAGCTCAAGCACCCCGGGAGGAGTCATTTGGTCAGAGTCCCACCCTTGTCCACTCCAGGACACGGATAAAGCAAGTGCGCCACAAAGCTCGGGTCCGGGCAGCGCATTGGACACCGATACCGTAAATGCTCACCAGCACCTCCGTCCTGGCCGCACATCAGCGCTCTGGGCCAGACTAATAGCGTGATAAGTACCGACAGTGCGTTCTCAGCTTGCCACGCCACAATTTGCGCGGGCGGCCATTACCGCAACCTAGAGAACTTGACGTTGCGAAGGGCTAGCTATACAGCATCAGCGTGGTGGGCGGCGTCAGCCCGCCCCAGGAGCGCTGGACGGGAAAGGGATAATGTTCCGCGGAACGAGTGGTGTGCGGGGCTTGATGAACATCGCTCGATACCCTGGAAGACCCGAGCTATGCTGTGCGGTTCCTCGTCTGCTCTGGATCATCGCAGGCGCTGTTCTCGGCTTGTTGCAGGGTAAAGAGAACATACCGCACAGGCGCGGACACGAGAAGCAGGCACGTGACTACCATGGTGCTGCACTGCTGCCGCGATACTCACACTGACCGCATGCAAGTGTCGGCATTCATTGCGTCGCAATGTCTGGTTTCAGTCGGGTTCGCTGCACGGAAGATCGATGACCGTGTGGTCCGTATCAGCTGACTACAGTTTACTCTTGCGCGATGGTACCCTGTCCCTGTCAGTGAGCCGCCTGGGAGCAACCGAAACATTTACGATAACGCACGTTCTGCAAAGCACCATCTCAGTACAGCACCAAGTCATGGGCACTGCGATTGAAGCCTGTTTCAGGCGTACAACACCGGCACGTGACCGCGTTGGCGTGTTCTCCCGATGACATGTTGATCGCGGTGGCTCGGAACGGCAACTGTACTGATTCGTCCTGTGTTCCCACATCAAACCACACAGCGTGACTGGATCAATACGCGCAGCCAGGCCATGGCCTACTCTCGTCTCCAGACGGTAAAGGGGGGGGAGGAGCGGGGCACTACATTCGGACGCTGAGTTCCTACGCCATCACTGGGAAACACGAACCCCCCAAATTGGGATTAGGTCTCCCGGAATGCACTACCCTCCATAGATCGCATCTCTAAACAGAGATGCATCCTCCTTCACACACCTATCTCTGGGCACACACGAGCACGGGTCTGAGCGGAATATGGAACGGCTGCGCGTAAGCTGTATCTGGCGATCATCGAGTATGGAGGAACCGTTCGTTGTTGGCCGACGTTCTCCACCGCGACGATATGGATAGGAGTGCACGTCCATTGTTGATTATGTCTTTGTTTTACTTATCACAGATGCAGCTGGCCATCTCAACAAACGCAAAGCCTCCAGCAGCGACAGTCGACTCCGTTATCCCACCAGATACTATCCAGAAATCATCATGTTGTAAGGTTCACCGGGTCTTTGTGAATTGGGAATGTTCACTTCAACCATCACGTTGTTGGAAAGTGATTGTACAGATATCTCAGTTTCAGCTGTCAAAACTATATGATCACAGTACTAGTATGCCATCCCTGCAGCCTGCAGGGCGGCTGCGCCATGTCACTTCTAGACAGATGGTGGTGACTACTACCCTGAGGCATTGCCTGTGTCGGCCACCCATGCCGATGTCACTGTCTCATATAAGTTGTATTAAGATCGAAGGCAAATGCAACACACTTGCACCCACGACACCCATCTCCTCCCAGTGACATGTACTACCAGAATTGCTACTACTACGGTGAGTGGACTTCCGGATCAGTTGTAAAGACTATCAGATATGCAATTGACCATCGCGCAGGACGTTCTCGCGTAACATTCGGCTCCGTTGTACTATTTATTATCATCTTCTCCTTGTCTTCGATTGGCGTTATCACACTCGTTTCGCGGTTCTTGCGGACCATACGCCCATACGTGAAGGCCCGGTTCAGTGTAATTGCTGTGCTCGAATATCATCTTCATCAGTGCACTCACTATCGTGTCCCTAGGCTGCTAGATACGGCGCAGGAAAGGGCGCATGGGCTGGTACGTCATCCGATCCACCGTCTACGCAGCTTCATCATTGATGCCTCCTGCTTTGTCAGTGGTGACCAATGCTGCGTCCACGCAAGGTAGCGAGCGCGCGGTGCGCCTCGCCGCTGAAGGGTTCAACGTCCTGGCGATCGGACGCGACGCAGACTTGTTGGCCTCCTTGTTACGCAGAATGCGTACGTGGCTCTTGCGCACCAATCGCCTTTGGCTCACTGCAGCCTATGCGCGCCCGCAGAGTCCGCTTATGATCTCGAGGACAACACGCGTCAGGCGAAGACGATGGTCGTCGATGACGCGACAGAGCTTTCTCCTGAGCGATGGGACGCTCTGACCGCAGAGCTGAAGGAGCTCGACATCGGGGTTCTAGGTTTGTCGCGGGACATGACGACCTCGTGTCTACTTACTTTACTGACGCAACGTGACCCTGCCTAGCACTGCACGGAGACGCCGAAGCCTCGAAGTCTAAGAGTGGGACAGACGTCACGGAGAAGGCAGTAGGCAATGCTTCTGCCGCGAATGTGGCTACCCTTGCGAGACTTGTGAGCCTTGTGTTACCCGGCATGGCCCAAAGGTTCGTCGTCAGTTCACGAAGTGCTGTCTTCGGTGTTGCTGCCAGTCTCTCAATCCTCTCTCAGAGAACATGCTGTCATCGTGCACAGTGGGCCCGCACTCGGTACCTCGTCGGCATTCGGTAAGGAAATCCAACAAGAGCACTTCCCATGCTGATTCCCTATTGTTTTTGTCTCAAGGTGTTGAAATGCGGTCTATGCGCAGCGATATGTTGGCACGTAGCCATTGCTTGACCGTCTAGATGAGCCCCGTTGAGTCCTGACGCACGCCCAGATTAATTATGCCATGACGTCGCTTGACTACGTGGTGGACACACCATTCCAGGACCACGTCCGTCGCATCAGGACACAGGTGTGCACCGTGTTGATGTGAGAATCTTGTGCAATGCTGACAACGTCGCTGCGGATAGGCTGCTTCCGCGTCGAGACGGGTGCGTGCGCACCTACCCCAGCGCATCACGCCCCCGCCCCGCAACGTACGTCGGCGGTGCTGCGTGTATCGCATTGTCGCTCAATTGAGTCTCTAGGTCAACGCGCTCATGAGCGCCGTGCACGGAGCCGCTTCGCGCGGATACCAGTCGCTGACGGTGAGCAATATTTGCAGCTCGGTGATACGAAGAGCTCATAGCGCGACAGACCGCTCAGAACGTCCTCTCTGAGAAGCTCGTCGGAGCTAACGACGGTCCTGCACCGACACTTCAAGGGGGTGATGACACTGCAGGCACGATGTGAGGGCCAGTACGGCTGCATGTAGATCTCGCAGGGATGCGAAGATTCAACAGAGCCGTCAATCCTTGAGTCTTAGGAGTAATAAGGAGCTGATTTAAGCATGCCCGGTCATACGTGAACACCGTCGAGGTAGAACTGTGTATACGGACCGCTCGAGGGCCATTCAGTCGAGCTAACAACAATGGAAATTGTTCTGCAATGCAGCTGTTCTCACATAGCTGAGACATACGCTAGAATCAGAACGTCAAAGGGAAGGACCCAGCATAACACAATAGCGTTTCGAATTTGAGTACATCATACAGATACTAAACACATACCATACATGTGTGGGAGTGGTCACGATCAAATAGCTGGAGGGATCAAGTCTGGACCAGTGACAGACGGACTTGGTGGCTGCAAGTCATTGTCATCGATATCCATTGGCTCCTCCGGAGGTGGCATATCGCTGCCAATTGAAATACCCTCATCGTCCTCTTCCGAGTCCTCTATGCTCGCAGACCCCTCCTTGCACATGCGCTCCATCCAGTCCATGGTCACTCGATGCGGATACGAGTAGACGTGGGGCGAGTTCTTACCGCGCAGGATTGTAGTGAAAGCCTCCGAGTCCTTGTCTTTGACGACAGCGTAGACACGAGGAGAACAGCCGCGTGCGATGATTGGAAAGCGCGGATGTGGAAGAAGGGTGTCAGTAGGATATTGCGTAGATGGTATCGTTTCCACGCGGACATGCGGCGGAGATGCTTGAACATGCGCGTTTCGCTGGTTCCGCTTGGGTTGTACTCCCAACTCCATCATGAGGGTGACGTACGGCCGTCTATCGAAGGTTTTCGGAAAGAAGCCGCGACAGCCATTCAGTTTAGACTCGTCGATCTCCGCGACTATTGCCTTCGGCCGGTTCTTCGCCTGAATGAGAATCGCTGTCATGCAGTCCGGCGACAACCGTCCGTCTCCGATGGCGACAGGTATGATGCAGTCAATGAGACTCTCCTCCGAGTTGCACTGCCAAGCTATCGCACGTGTCAGAGCGATCCAAGTTCCCCTTGGATTCACAAGACTGTCGTCTTCAAGCCTTGCAAAGTGGGTGAAACGGACGTAAGCGTTCTTGAACGCCTCGGCAAATGTCCGTTGCTCGCCACAGCGGTTGTCAGCGTACGACTGCTTGATGCCGTCCAAATGTTCAGGTCCAAAGAGCGCACCGAGGAAGTTCAACAAAGGTACTGGCCGGTCGATTTGCCCGTCCCAATTTTCCATTTCCCTGGACGCCTTGTCGAACGCTTCAGTGAGAAGGAGTCGCATGATTAACTCCCCCTTCTCCCCAGCCTTGATTGTATAGCTTTGGATGTGTTCCGCAAGCACGTCGGCCGCACTTTTGTCGTGGAGGCGATGCATTACATGCGCCGCAGCCTCAGCAACGATGGGCTCTGACGGATATCCTGTGGAGAGCCACTGGCGGCTATCACTGATGCCATATACCCAGGCCATATGTGATTGAACAAGGCGCATTTCCATATCCTTTGCGGGCTCGTTCTGATAAAATTCCAACAGTAGCCTCGCGCTAAGGGCAGCTAGGCGCGCTTGGATAACTAGGTTTTCTGGTTGTGCTTCATGTGGTTTGTCTTTATACTCTTCGCATCCTGTCAACCTCGACAACGCAAAATGCTTCAGAATCTTGTTGGCATTGAGTGTTCCTCCCCTGAGCAAGCTCCGCCACCTGTGAAACACCGCCACTTACTCGATGATTCAGCAACCAAAGAAAAAGAAAAAAGACTTACAAGGGCCTCCCGAACTGGCTTGAGAATTTCACATCACACATCTCGGCCAGAGTCATTTGTCCAGGAGCTATCAAAGGCCGTCGATCTAGCAAGACTGTCCAAGGCATCTCGAAGTAAGGAATGGGCGTCGTGTCCGCATCGGAAAACCTGACTCTCTTTGACTTGCGTGGTTCCCGTGTGGATGACATGGCGTGCAAGTATAAGTTTGTGGAAAGGAACATAGTAAAAACGCCGACGTCGAGAAGATCGGACAAGACTTCCCTAAAGACTTCATAAGCATTGTGAGTTGGGTGCCCAACCTTCTCGATTGCTTTGTTTGCAAGGGTTTGCGCCTCGTCCACGTATATCAGGATGCTGAATCTGTCCTCGCTACGATGATAACGATACTTGATTAACTCCACAAGAGCACTCCCTTCCTTCATCGCATCGGCAATGAGCGCAGCGAAGTCGTATTCATCCACAAGTGCATTAGCAGGAAAATTCTAAGAGATATGTCAGGGCGGTCCGCGGGAACAATATTTAACTTGAAGGTACGAACAGTAATTTCGTCGTACAATCGGTCGCGATGCGTATGGTTTTTATTCCCCACGTGAGGGCGCGCGAGGTGTTCACGCCACGCGGACGAAAATTGTTCCATTGTTCGGAAGGCGGGAAGATAATGCTCGATTTCTGCCCGGATGGCAGCAAACATTCTCTTGAAGAATACCAAATATGCGGCTCTGACATCATTATACTTGGTGTACGGCGTACCGACCAGGTATGCGTAGATACTCTTGTCGGCGGGAGGATAGGAATATTCTGTAGATAGGCTGAGTATCTAACAAGACTGGAGATCAAACTCAAAGCTGACCTCCTTGCATTTCCTCACGGATGTTCAGAGGTATCACGAAGACAATCTTGGCAAGTTCATCGACTGTTCTAGATTTGCCACTCCCAGAACTCTGCAGAATCGGCACGCTGTTTGTATACGGCTCCTCGCAGGTTGCACACATGTCTTTCACGTTCTCAAGGAGCACGAGGTGGGCATCGCCGATATATTCATTCGTCCATGCGTCGCGAACGACTGAACATGGGACTCAATTCAGCGTGATGTTGTTTGATGTATATAGAATTATGATACCTTGCTCTGTGAAGTTCTGTTTGTTAGGGTATTCATGTTTTATCAATCAATATTTGCGCACCGAGCTCTTCTGCTGTTATGACAGACTGTCCTCCGTCTGCAGGTGTCACCTTCTCTTGAAGTAACGCTTCGAAGAGCAGTACATGACTAACTCGGTCAGCAGCAGCGGAAAAACATGCATCACTCACGAAGATCATATATGCTGGAGAAATCGCCCTTGGAGAAGGCATCTGCCAGTAATTCGAGAAGTTCAGGGTTGGTCCTCAAGGTGCGTATAGATTGACTTTGACTGATAAAACCTGAATTGATTACATGGCGCTCCGCGAGAGAAGCCAGAAGAAAGATACCAGCCAACAAGGGCTTGCTCTGAAACAGTTCTGGTGTAAGACCGCAGTAGACCGCCGTTTCCAAAACCTGGGCATTGATTGTTCCGAAATCCGCATCCTTCACGTTCGTGGGTTCCTCGAGAAAAGAGTCGTTTATCGACATGATCTAGGTGTGTCGATCAGATGTTGTATGCGAGTTGTGTGGCCAGTGTGGCGCAATCAGTCATATTCACCCAGCAGCTGTTCGAGTATGGGTTTGAATTTGAAGAACGCGCACTAATATCGGGGGTAAGTGTCTGGAAATTCCGCGTAGATCGTTGTTTTGTGAACTTTCGCCGCGTGTAGACTACGTGAATGCAGCAGTACAAGAGCTGTGCAAGAGCTAATCGCATTCGCCCGGTCCTTTTAGTGTGGCGTAGCCCTAACCCTAATTCTCAGAGCCTCAAGGGATGTGGCCGCATAGCATCCAGAACTGAATGAAGTGTCGGCGTGCTGCCTTGAGCGGAAGAATACATGGTATGTGCCAGATGACTAAAGACTAGTTACAGTACTACGGTACGTGGTGCTCGAAAGAATATTCAAATGCAATGCTGATGCGAAAACGAGGAATGTGTGCGACTCCAAATCCACCGATACTGTACACGTGCGGTCTACGCCTAGACATGACGCTCCTCCCCTGCTTGCCATGAAATGTCATTCAACTTCTGTCTCGGTGGTAAGCGTGCGACGCCTCCGGCTGTGGACTTGCGAGATGCGGTACGCAGATTGCCAGACACGGCAGCCGGACTGCCTGCAAGAGACTCCGACGCCGTCCGCCTCGTCATCTTCTTCGGTGCAAGAGCACTCTTGCCGCTCTTGGGTGTTTCTGGGTTACGTCCGAATCTAGTCGAGACGGGCTTCAGCGCAGGCGCCAGAGAGGGCACGATCTCCCGCGCAAGCTCGCGAACGAGGACAGCACCGTCCTCGCTCAGCCTCATGACGATATCATAGATGCCGAAGCGTTCCACCAGAAGGGCGCGATTCGGATGAGCCTCACATACAGTCCGCAGGATACGCAGAAGGTTAAGACGGACAACCGCTTTGTTGTGGCTCAACTTGTCAATAATGCGTTTGAAGAACTGTGATTTCGCAATGCCGATGGTGATGCCATTAGAGATGCGGAATATCTTAAGGAAGGGATCGAGTAGGTTCTCAAACGAATTTGATTTGGCAGATACGAAGCACTTCAGGAGCGCCTCTAGGGCCGGTGGTTGCATCAGCTGATCTTCTATTCTGGCTGTCTCATCTTGGAGCCTGGCATAATCACGTTCAGGGTCTTCAATTAGACGAACCAGGGATGGGACCTACCATGACAAGATCGACTCTAGTGCGCTGACCTGGAAGTACGGATCATCGAGCAATCGGAGATACAGTGCAAGGCCATCATGCTGCCACAGAAGTGTTCTGCAACTCTTCCCAGCACTGGCGAGATCGCACAAGATGGGTAACGCGAACTGCTTCAGAGGTGAGCTTGACTCAATAACCCGTTTCAAGCTTGGGATGATCCCCGCTTGCGCTGCCTCCTCTTGCCTGTTCTTGTTCAATCGACAGAGGTTGTAGCATGTCTGGAAGATGTGATTGGACATTTCCTACATGAATTGTTCAGCATGTTGGATGTGGGATTCGGTGTAATACTTCACGCACCGTGCCATATGGCCCTGAACTCTGCTCCTCGAGAACCTTGACCAAGATCTCAATCGCGTTCGCGTTCTGCAGGACTTCAAGAAGATTGGCATTCATGGACAGATGCTTGACGGCTTTAAGCATTTGTACGAGATACTCTGGTTGCAGAAGCTCGCAAGCTCTCAAAAGTCCTAAGGTAGGTGCATCAGTCAACGTGAGCGCTCGGGCTAATGATATATGGGCTTACGTCTGACTACCTTCCGGGTGCCCAGTGCATTTCGGACATGGATATCTGATTGCGACACCTGGCAGAATACGAGCAAGATCTGGATGATTTTGCGGTTCATATCGGCAGCGACCTCGCCTGGAGTAGACATCACGTTGAGCAATGCCGATGACAAAGGGTCTAGGAGTCCTTCGCGGATGAACATCCGACAGAAGTCGTTCTTTGTGGTTGGACTCTGGAGATCGAACACACTACAAATGCCGTTGAGCGCGTGAATCACCAGGTCGGTCTGCTCATTGAAATCCTCATCAAGAAGCTCGACAAGGACTTTCAATCCTCGACATCTAGATTGAGTTCAGTTTGCATGAATATCACCTGCACATTATCGAACGACTCACGCGATGAACATCTGCAAGGTCAATACGGAAGAGTGACATAAGAGACGAATAAAGTTCGATGCCTCTGTCCTGCACTCTGGAGGGTACTTCTTGGAGGTGAATCCTACAGATAGATGAACTACGAACGGCATCCAGGTTTGACCCAACTTACCCATGATCACGGGAATACCCCTACGAACAAAGCTTCAGAACGCATATACGACCCATTCCCCGACCCAGCTTACCCAATCAAACAGAAACTCTCTAGGAAACCCATATCCGCGTTGACCAGCTGTCCCAATCATTAGTGTTTGTTCAACCGCATGGACATCCAACGTACCGCATACACGATCTGCAGAAGCTTGATGGTGACATCGCGGGAAGATCTCCCTTCTAGGACTTCCAGAATTGCCAACATGCCATGCGCAGACACAAGTTGTGACTGCATTTCAGGCGTATCTGACAGGATCGCGAGCTATCATAGTGAGGAATGAGGTTCAGCAATGTACAGGTGTAGGAGACAGCGTACCAACTGATCACACGCTTCACGGAGCTGGAAGTCGGGAGCCGATGGTGTAAGCTCATCGATGAGCTGAGTAACGGTGTTAGACAATCGAGCATACTTGTCCCGCTGCAGATTTGACTCCATATCGTCTTCGGCGAAGCCCTCGTCGATCTTGGAACATTCATCAGTACACTAGGATGATGAGATATCCCAAGGCGTGTCATCACCTCAGCAAACGGATCCTCGTCGTCGTCTCCATCTCCCAACTAATTATCGTCAGGCAACGAACACCGCATTTAGCGAGCGGACTTACCCATGACTTGTTGGAGAGACGGGTGTTCAGCTGCAGAGTCTGCATAGAGTGCGAAGCTACAGGGGACGCGACCGTCGGTGTGAGCAATCTATATATGCTATGCCAATATTCTCACTTACTCGCGCCGTTCACTTTGCCGAACACGTCCTCGTAGTCGTCATCGTCATCTTCCGTATACTTGCCAAACTCTGGCTGGCTTGGGAACCTGCGCGACTCTGCACGCCCAAATGAGTCTGCTCCTCTTCCGACGAACGACGACGAGCGCGTGTGTGAGCGGCCGTGTGACGGCCCAGTCGGCTGGTTCGCACCAGATAGCGTAATTGGGCTGAGCGCAGGACGCGACCGCCTATGGCTCAGAGTCGGCAGCGGTGCCGTCATTGGACCCGGAGAAGGCGGTTGCAGGCCAACAGTTTTGATATCGTCCGGATGGAAAAGGCCGCGGCGTAGCGAGTTCTTCATCTTGAAGTCCGCGACCTTGGCTTGGATCTTGTCATCATCATCCTCGAAGACTATGTCGGAGTAGTCTTCCACAGGTGATACCGGATCAGGCTCGGGCAACGTCAAAGCGGGGAGAGGGACAATGGCAAGGCCTGCAGGACTCCGTGTTGGTCGAATAGTCTGAGCATTGTCGTCCACCTCGAGTTTCTCCTCCTCAGCGGACGTCTTCTCCAGTGCTGTAACCGTTCGTCAGCCATCCCTTGCAATACATTATAACCCCATGGCTACCTTGCAGCTTAGTCAAGGAAATGCCCTCCTCGAAGTCATCATCCCAATTGTCTGTCTGTTCCTCCGGAGCCTGTAAGATGAACGGCATTGGGAGCGCCTCGCGTACGTGACCGAGCTGCGTTGCGCCGGCAGGAATCTTACCGGTGTTCAACGCCACGGGTTTACGGGCTGTAGGTACAGCAGATGACTGCAACGGGAGCGGTGGAACTACGGATATCCTCGGTTGCATCGACGTCGGTATATATGCTGGAGGAGCAATGGGCGACTGTGGCCTGCCGTCACGATCTGTGACAGAGGTCCGACGCTTGTCAGGGTTTCTCGCAGGGCGCGACGGTGCTATAATGTAGTCAAGTACTGAGCTCATCAGTGTTGATCACGTAGACGTACACTTCAACGCCTCATTCCACTCCTGCACCTTGAGAACTGCTTCATCAAAGTTGTAATTGCTTTGTGGTCTGCGCTCAGCAACGTCCTGGCTCGTCTGGTTCCCGCTGATCTGTTTTCGCGATGCCACCATCCACGGATGCTTCAACAGCTTCTTGGCGGAAATTCGCAAGTTGCAATCTTTCTGGAAACAGTGATATAGGAAGTCTTTGACGATAGGCGATGCGCCATCTGGTATTGGGGGACAGTCATCCTGCACAATACGGAACAATGCCGGCATGGGATCCAGGAAATGGTAAGGTGGTTTCCCCTCGAGGAGTTCGATCACCGTACAGCCTACACTCCTAAATTCGGCGTAATTAGCACACAGCCAACAATCACGCTCAGGTAACTGAATAACTGACCATATATCCGACGCGGTTGTCGCACCCGATTGTTCAATCACTTCGGGTGCCACTGTAACAGGCCATTCATCAGCATATATTGTCACATTCATGTGTGGATAGTCGCATACTCCAATATGGACTGCCTACGACTGCGTCATCGCGCACCGCGTTCGCCGCTGTCCGACTTGCGACGCCAAAGTCTGCCAACTTAACGCAGCCGTCCTTGTTAGTGAGGATATTAGCGCCCTTGATGTCGCGGTGGATCACGCCTTGGTCGTGCAGATACATGAGTCCCTCGAGGACCTGCGAGATATACACGCCGACCAGGGTCTCCGGAAACTTGCCGAATCGCTTGCAGATGTTGTGCAGGGAGCCATTCTCGCAAAACCTGGGAATAATTAGAGGGTTAGGATACATCCGGAGGAGGATACATACTCTAGGATAATGTATAGATACTCTGGCGTCTTCTCGAAGCCCTTGTATTTCACGATGTTTGGATGCTTAAGATACTGATGAGCAGATGCGTTACCATTTAGAGTGATCGAAGCATACATTCAAATTCTTAAGCAGGTCGATCTCGGACTGAGACGCGTCCAGGTCAGTTATAATGCAGGTGCGCTTAGTCTCGCCGGCGACATGCGCACCATGATCTGCCCAATCTCACTCTTTGGGATGTTGCTCAGCTGAATCTCCTTTACGGCGACCGTCTCTCCAGTCGCCCAATTCAGAGCACCTTTTACGCATAGGCATCAATGGCTCCGCCGACACATACAACGCCGCACACATACGATAGACCTGCCCAAACGCGCCTTTCCCGAGCGAATCACCGAGTTGCTGCAGGTTCCATGCAATGAGGACATTGAAGGTCTATATATGCGCGTAAAACACGAACATAGGCACGAAGAGACTTGTTCGGGCTTGAGCTGGAGGAGGCTCTGGCAGGGGAAGTCATGATTGGTATCTGAACGAGGGCGCGATCGAAAGGAGTGGGTTGTTTCGTGTTACAGAGGGCATTTAAACCTTTATGGGGCCCGACGGATCAGTGACTCAGCTACAGAGCACAGGCCGCAGTGAATGGAGAGAGTAAGTAGGTCCGAGACGCTGCAGCCGCCCAACTCGACATAAGCTCTGTTCTCTAGTCGGCGCCTGCCGACCCATCTGTAACACCAACAGCGTCGTCAATGCCACGCGAGACAAAGAACACTCATTTGCTGCCTTCCGCTTCCATACTAGGTACCCATAGTTTCAGTTCAACACTCCCTAATTGCCAGGATTACTCAGTCAGAATGTACTGCGTTGAGACATCAATATTAATAGGTCAACCGATTGTTCCCCTCAGCTTGATTGATAGACTCGGCGCACGTGATCGAGATTACTTACCGCAGTCGTCATAACGGTGCAACAACAGCATTGTCTTATCCTTCTCCTTCCTGCTCCACCTCACACTTTCCCTCAGCCTAGTATCTCTTGCACCATGAGCTTTCAGGACATTGAAACGGGGCTAGCGCAGCGTCCATACTCACCCAATAACGGTGTACCACAGTCCCAGGAGGAAGCCGCGTTTCTCAGCCTGCAGTCTTCGCTTTCTCTCCAGGTGTTCAAGATCAACTCGAATGTGCAGGGTATCCTGAAGCTTGTCGACCAGCTAGGCACGACCCGTGATTCTGCGACTCTCAGGAAGTCCCTGTACGTTTCAACCTGATTCTGATCTCAAGGGAGCCTACAGTTCGCTTATACTCGCTGATAGTCATGACCTGACCGAAGCAACGCGCGCAATGGCCAAGCGCGGCTCGGATGACCTGAAGAAACTTGCAGCGCTACAAGCACCCCTAGTGCGTGCCTCCCGCGCCGACGATGAACTCATACCTTGCTGACTTTCGTGTCGTGTAGCCTCGACACAAGACATCTTTGCAGAAGACGTCGCATGACTTCCAGCTCTCTCTTGTCGCCTTTCAACGTGCGCAACAAGTGAGCGCTGAGCGCCAGCGCACCGTTGTTCATGGTGTGAAGATTGCCGTAGAGGAGGAAGCATCGCCGTGCGTCGTATTCTCCCATATCTTTCGCGCGCGCATGCTGCTGACACGTTGCGCAGTCATGACCGGCCGTCCAGTCCGACGCCATCCCAGCGTCAGGCTCTGATTCTGCAGAATCAACTATCGCCGCATGAGCTTGCGTTCCAGGAATCCCTCATCCAGGAGCGTGAGGCTGAGATCCGGGAAATTGAAACCGGCATCCACGAGCTGCATGAGATCTTTCGCGACCTGGGAACGCTCGTTCAAGAGCAGGGTGGCATGCTTGGTTTGTCCCCCCTCATTTCATACCTGCGAGGTTGCTGAGATTCTGCCCAGACAACATTGAGTCGAACATATCATCCATTGCGGTCGACACTGCTGGCGCCGCGGAAGAGCTCACAACGGCGCACGAATATCAGCGGAAAGCCGGCCGACGCGCGCTATGTCTGATGCTCGTGCTTGTCGTTGTCGTCGCCGTTGTGCTCCTGGCAGTGCGTATTCTACTTAAAATTGCCCGCTGTTCGAGTGGCGTACCAATGCTTTGTTGAATTTCGCACAGATCCTATCATGACGACATGTACCGACTATCACTCATACATGATCACACCGCTTTGCTCGATTGCTCGATGGATATGTTTATGCCTTCATGCCTGGTAATTATAGATATTTGTATGCGGATTGACAATGCGGACATTTGCCGTCATCACAGTGCGGTCAGTATGTTTAACGAACTGAACTGAGCAAAGGTGAAGTGTGTGACGGGCAGAAATATGAACAATATATTTAAACATCTATACAATGACTTTGGGTCATTCCCGGTGACTAGGAAGTAAACGTGAAATCGGCTCCGAGCCAGGCCTGTCTTGTATTAAGGGCAAAGTCCGGGATATACTGCAGATGCAATTATCTAGTACGCTACATTGGTTGAATTCGCTAGGCACATTTCTTCTATATACTTAGAGTGCTCGTTGAGCTCTTTCTTGTGCCTGTAAGGTGACGCAAGATGATCAGCGGTATGAAGTTAAGGAAACGGCGCTACTCACGATGACTTCAGGTGCCGCAAAAGGCCCTGCGCGCTGTAGCGGCGACCGGAATGGGGAGAGCAGACCGCGCAATGGTGGATCCTTGCGTCCCACTTCCTCCCAGACTGTGGTGTTTGTGTAATAAGATCGTTGGGGCCCTGAGGTGCCGACGCTTTCTGTGGTCCCATGACGAATCCGACTGGACGCGACCCCACGCGTCGGGCAGGTACGGCGTGGAAGAAGTCCTGGCCCTCGTTCGGTTTGGCGACGGTATGGCTGGATGTGCAATGAGTTCATCAGTCCTGCAGAAGGAGATGCATACGCTGAAGCCCTACCTTTCTCGGACGTGGCTCAGGACGGCGGCACGTGTCTGCAAATCCTCTAGGTGTACCGTGCAGTGGTTACAACCCCATAATGGGGTATTGTACGACGGGTTGACCTCGCTGCGCGCAATCGTTTCCCAGTGGACTTGTGGGACAAGCTCCCAACTAGGCTCGTAGTGCGTTCGAGCATTCGGAATGAAGTGAGATACCTGGCAGCGGAAGTGGCTAGGGTTGGCATCGAGTACACGTCGTCATGAGATGCACTTACACACTGTCGCCATGACAAGACGTGACGGCCTTTGAGGTGGCGACCGATTCCTGTAATTGGACATTCGAGACAGACAAATCTTGGCCCTAAGTTATCAAGATCCTCCGGTGTAGTGATGCTGGGATCAAGCCCAAGTATGTGGAGAATAGAATGCACCGCCTCGAAGCCGCGCTGGTCGAATTCGAAATGCTCTTCGGCATCGATGTCGAGGGTCTCCTCACCCAGACAGACAGCGGGCTTGAGAGAAATGAAGTACCCGTGCCTCGAACCATCCTTGCATATATGCGACGCTACATCCACCCAGGAAAGGAGGGGAACGCCCGCACACGTCTTCGATGATGTACATTTGAATACAGATACAGCAAGGGTAAGGGGGTCGACTTGCAAAGGCGAGCTGGTCGAGGTCGACTCAAAGTCCGGCTGAGCAGAGAGCGTATCAAGTAGTGCGCGTCTGAGTCGCTCGGTTTCGGTTGCTACGAACGCAGGAAGTAGCGCCGCGAGGGGAGCCAAGCCGTCTGGATTGAGGAAGTCGCTGTTGGACGGGCAATCGACAAGCCTTCGGAATTCCGGAATCGAGCAGATCGCCCCCAGCCGTGGCAGCGCAATCCAATGCATGGGTGTCACAGTTCTCTTGTAATTGTTGTATATTTGTCGAATCAATGTCGTTCGGTCAGATGCGATCCGCTCATCTTTAGCTTTTATAAGGTCTGCCTCAAGCTTCTTGCAAAGGTCGGCTGAGCCTGTGTATGGGTCAAGATGACGCTGATGTGGACAACCGCTCTTCACTGACATCTAGTGATTAGCAAAAGATCCGATTGGATTACTTGACATCCAACTTTGACGATGTCCCGTTCATCGTGTCCACGTTCTCGAAGGTGTTTTGATAGCCTGGCGCCTTCAGATTAATGTCCAGCACGGATTGATCTGGAGACTACCTACTCATTGTAACGAGCCTTTTTAAACTTCGGTATCCCCAGCCAACGCCGTTTTGCGTCTTTGCAGGACCAAGCAAAAGACTGCAGTGCAATCTGCAGGTAAGCCGATCAGGCACTTTATAGCAAACCCGAAGCTTTGAGGCAAGCACAACCTACCTCAGTCATATACGAAACATATTCCCGGCGTTTCTTCTTAAACCTCAGCATCCGTTCTCTAGCCCCAGGCTTATTATGCACATAGATATCCCGTCGCAATCGATCGTATTTGTTGGTAACATTGCAGATGTCCATGTGCCAATAGTACTTCTGTTCACCGTCTGAGTAGCAGGCGTCATAAGGATAGATTAGGACGAGCTGAGCAACCCGTGAAGACGAAGACGGATTATTCACCTAAACTGTAAGGAATAAGTGAAAGGACTTTCGGCTTAATGGGTTCGAATCGTCCCACAATGTTTGGGAGTGCGACAAGGCTATTAATGAATGGTAAGGAGGGCAATTATGGACATAGGAGAATAATGTGTGGCATACTGTTCTTCGATGCAGCTCGGACACATTCTTCGACGTAACGCGATATCAATTCGAGTTGCATACCCAGATCCACACTGCAAGATGGGACCTCAAATAAGACCAGCCACGCGGCGTACACAGTTTGAAACAATACCTGACAAGCCGGTCCACCAAACAGGAGCTTGGTCCATTCTAACTCAGTCATATCGAGCGGACAGACTGGGATACCCGGAGAAACTCGTTCTCTGGCAGCTTTCCAGATATTCTTGGCCTTGCTAGACAAGAGAACGTCACGCAGGGTTCTATTTGTCCAAGCGAGCTTCAACAGTTCATGAGGCGCGGTATATCTGGTAATCTGGATCGATGAGACTGTTAGATGTTTCCGAATAGTTTATAGAGTGCATCGTACTTCGAAGAAAATATCAAGAGGCAACGCTGGAAGGTTGCCTAGCTGCTGCGGGCCGTTCATCGCGGGTACGGGGGAAGTAGCTCTCTCGCGAGTCACGCATAAATGCTGTGGCATTCAAGGGCCGCCTTCAGGAGATAAATTGGGATGATTGGTTAATCGTCGACGGACCTACTGTCCGTGACTGAAGCCCAATCTGAACATTAGACGGAGTACTCGAGTTTGAACAAAGTTCCAAGTGAACGATGTCGCGTCAATCATTTCTTGTCCAGCCTTCATGGTGCGGTGGACGACACGATCACGTGAGCGCCGCGTCGCTGGTCGCGTGGCTGTGGTTCGACCGTTCAGTTTCAGGTCAAATCCGAACTTTGCTGTACCTTGCTACGACAATGGCCTCCATCGGCGCCGTGACTCGTCAGATTGCTGCTCTTGAGATATCGTCGAAACCAAATACTACACGGCCGACTCATCAGCCGAAGAACCCTAGCCAGGGCAATGTATCGAAGCTATTAACCAAGTTCGCGGCACCCCATCCCTTCCCCTCAAATTCGGCTATACCAAAGAGCACCTCGACAACATCATTGGCCAGCAAGCACCAATCCCAGCAATCTCAGTCGTCGCAGCCGTCACAGTCATCACAAATCTCACAGCCATCCCAACAGCAACGTCCTACATCACCGCGCAAGCCACCAACACAGCCGACCATCGACATCGGGCGGTATGACGGTGGTTTCGAAATCGACAACGAGAGCAGAGGAGAAAGGGTTTATGGCCAGGCTGCTGAAGATTTGGCATTGGACTCCAGCATTTGCGGGTAGGTTCTAGTCGGATGTTCTGCGAAATTTAGCTCAATAGCAACAGCATTCGACGGACGCGCGAATGGCATCTCACAGACTTCGATATTGGGAGGCCACTTGGCAAAGGTAAATTCGGCCGTGTCTACATGGTTCGCACGAAATGCGAGCCACACTATATCCTCGCCCTCAAGTGTCTGTACAAGTCCGAAATCGTGCAATCGCGGGTGGAGAAGCAGATTCGAAGGGAGATTGAGATTCAGCAGAACCTGCGGCACCCTAATGTTCTGCGACTATACGGCTACTTCCACGACGAGAAGCGCATATTCCTTATGCTGGAATTTGCTGGCAAAGGCGAGCTATACAAGCAGCTGACAAAGCACGGATGCTTCACCGAGAAGCGCAGCTCTCGGTACATCGACCAGATGGCGGACGCGTTGAGCTACCTTCATTCAAAACACGTCATTCATCGAGACATTAAGCCGGAGAACCTGCTGTTGGGCATTAATGGCGAGCTGAAGATTGGTGACTTCGGCTGGAGCGTCCACGCACCTGGGAATAGGCGGACAACACTATGCGGTACGCTCGACTATCTTCCTCCAGAGATGGTGGAGGGCAAAGACCACACGGAGAAGGTGGACTACTGGGCCTTGGGCGTATTGACGTACGAGTTCATTTGCGGCGCTCCTCCGTTCGAGGATTTGACTGGTCATACTGGTAAGCATCCTGCCGTCTCGGCGGGCGCTAGTCACACTCATAATCCTATCCAGCTACGTACAAACGGATCGCGAAGGTGGACCTGAAGATCCCGTCGAAGGTATCTCAGGAGGCACGCGACTTGATCATGAAGGTGTGTGGGGCCACGCATTGCTCTGCTAACTAGATAACTAAAACGATCTCTAATGCAGCTTCTTCAATATGACCCCGACAAGCGTATCCCACTGACAGACGTTCGGCGGCATCCTTGGATCGTCAAATATAGGTCCAAAAGCCCGTCTACTTCGATGCCGGGTCTGTAGCGGCGTCCTGGACATTATATCTACTATGATTGACCATGCCTCTGCGTGAACGTTCTTGAGTTCCTACTATGCTTTCTTGGACTTGCATGCGTGTATGTTATGGGCTTGTAGCCGATGGAAACAAGGTCTTGCATGTTCTCTCAATAGTGTGACTTGCGTAACCAGTAGCGCATGGGCCCTTACATCAAGTGCGTTATTGTTCTAATCTTCACCTTGATTCTATCTAATACATCGACTTTGCCCACAATAGACCGCTTTACAACAACATCAATACAGAAAGCTCATTGGATACTACTATATCGTACTGACTAGTAATTCCCACTCGTTGCTGTGGAAATTGAGAGAGGAAAACGATGGGCCTTTGTTTAGTGCCGTTCGGGCAGCCGGCCAATGTGCCAGTCACATGACCGTGATTCGGACCGCCACCGCCACTTGAGTGGTGGCGGGTCAAAGCGATGTTCAGTCAAGGCGAGGTCAAAGCACTTTCGAAGAACAAAGACAACGAGTGGCTCGTGCACGTACAAAAGACGCGTTGGGTGGCGGCAATGGCACATTCAACTCTTTCTCCCTCCCCATCATCATCTCGCGCCACAGTACAACGCAATCATGCCCGTAACTCGCTCGCAGACTGGCAAGCTCCCTCAACTTCGCTCCAGGGAGGTACAGCCGCTCGTGAACTCGAACGATATCAGAAGGAAAGCAGACTCACGAAGAGGTTTGGGCGATGCCGATGGCGACAATCGCAATGGTGGGCAGTCGTGTTGTGGCGTGTGCCATTAATCTCTCATGTCCTGCACACAGATCGTGATCCCCAAGCCTCGCGCAAGCGTGCCCGACGGGCCGCGCCTGAACGAAACGATGATGAGGAACCTTCAGCGAAGCGCAGGAGAACGGGGGTCGATACTCCGCCATCGAACCCACCCCTTGATACTAAGAAACATACAACGAGGCGCAGTAGAATGGAGGTCGATATTCCCCCGTTGAACCCACCTTCGAACATAGCTTCAAACGCATCGCTCGATAAGGAGAAACCTCCAACGAAACGCAGGAGAACGGAGGTCGACACTTCGCCATCGAACCCACCTTCGAACCTAGCTTCGAACCCACCCCTGAACCCATCCTTGAACTCACTCTTAAACCCACTTCCGAATTCACACTCGAATCCACCCTCGAACCCGCCATTGAATCCGCCGTCTAATCCGTCGTCGAACCCACCACTGAACCCGCCACCACCGGCGGGCGCACCGCTGAGCATCCTCCCCACGTTGCCTCTGGACATCCTCTATGAGGTGAGTGATGTGATCAACGCAATACTATATCATGGTGTTGAGACGGCCTCGCACCTGACAGACATTCGGCCACCTGCTGCCACCCGACGTTCTGACTGTTTCCCGAGTCAGCAAAGCCTTCCGTCAGACACTCGTATCTGGTACCGCGGCGTCGATGTGGAAGGCTTCCTTTGGCTTAGTACCTGGCGGCGTTCCCGAATGCCCTTCCGACATGCAACAATCGGATTGGGCATTGCTGCTCTTCGGCGGGAACAGGTGCCAGGTGAGGCTCTAAGCCTGTCGATGACACGACACAAGGCTCACGCGCTACATTTGGTAGCGCTGTAACTCCTCGAGCGCGTGCGACGTACAATTTGCGTTCCGTAGACGTGTGTGCGACGTCTGTTTGAGTTCAAAGTAAGCCCCTTCGTCATTCCGTAATGAAGAGTACTGACGTGTGGATCGAAAGTCTAATTACGGCAAAGACATTCGAGCGGGAATACCGACAATATGATGCCAAGGTCCTAGATTTAGTTCCCAGCACGAACCGTGAGCGGACTCTATCTGTCTGAATCTCGTCGATATTGACCGATAGTAGGATGGCACCAAGTGCAGAGTGTGCACAACAGAACGCCGAAGAAGTATTACTGGCTAGAAGATGTCTTGGCTGTTGCTGCTACATATGGCCGGTTGAAGGAGGACGTACAAATGGGCAAGGCAGGTGCTGAACAGATACTGCATGACTATCAAGAGGCACGGCTCGCTCACGTTAAGTCGACAATGGAGGTAGGGCAGCTTAATGATTCTGATATACTTCTAGTCTAATATCGCCCTCTGATAGAAATTGGATCACTTAACTCAATGGCACAAAAACTACGTCGGAGACCGCCTCGCCGAAATAAACGTTCGTCGGGAGGCCTACTACAATCAGTGGGTGCCTCGTCGATGCTAGACAGAACTGGTCTGATGAGTTACGGCAGAATCATCCAGCACTTCGAAGCACTCGGGTACGCGCGCTCCGATGTACGCTGCATCACTTTGAACATAGTCCCGGATAAAGAGCTTACAGATGAGGGTACGTTTTATCGCGTTCTTCGCTCCCACTCGATCTCACTGTCCATAGTCTTCTCTGTTTGGCGCACCGTATACGAGCCAAGCGCCAAGCGCGCAAAAAGAGATCGCCTGGCTCTCGAACGGAAATACCTCATAGAGAGACGGAAACATGTACTCAGAGAGGCTTGGGCCAACTTCAAGATGTCCTATGTGCCTCTGAGAGACACCATATATCTGCCTCACTTTGGCGAGATCCTCAGAATGCCCGCAGTCAACGCGTTGATCAACGGCCGATCGGATGCACCTGTCACGCCGGGGGATTGTGGTCACATCTTCGACGCCTTACCAGACTGGCTTCATGCGAGGGCCGAAAGGCTCCGCGGAACGATGCGCGATTTAGCTGGCCAATCAGAGGACCTGGCGACGTCCGTTTTCCGATGCACCACGCCCAAGTGTGCCACCACCCCTCTCATCGGTTGGCAGGGCGTACTGTCGCACGACTGCGGCCACCTTGACATTGTGGAAGCCCGACGTTTGAGTAGGACCCACGTTGAATATGTCGACCTTGGCGATGAATGCGGAGAGGAATTGATATTCCAACGCTCTCTGCGTGGATCCGCGGCGGTTGCTGCGCTGGTATCCAGGCTTGGAATACCTATGGCGGGGCCGGATGAACTGGATACTCGCGACCATCGCTTCTTCTGCATGTGTTGTCCGAGCGAGACTATTAACGGCCGTCGAATGCGTCACGCTCTAACATGGCGTCAATGTGTGGGTGCCTTCGTCAACTCGTCCTTTTTCACGTTACTCACGTCATTGTAGGTCTCGCATTTTTTGAAGGCTCCAGAACATACCCATCCGACGCCCTCGTGGAACCTTGTTGACTCAAACACACGCCGGCGAGCCATAAATGCCGAGGGCGACGATCCGGCAGCAGGCCAGTATGTTTGGGAATGCAACCATTGCCCATTCTTCATGGATTCGGCGCGCAGAACGGATATGCGCGGGGTTATCCATCATGTCAGGCGAAGGTGAGTTTGCTTTTGACACACGCATGAGTGACTCGTCTTGATTGCTCCTTGGTCAGGCATGGTGTCCGAGACGCGAGGGAGAACAGAGATTTCTACCATTCCAAGCCCGCTCACCGCCACGACAGAGAACCGACGTTCCAGCCTATGAACATTCACGAGGAACCTCAACCAGCACATCAGCCAGCTGTTCGCCAGCAACGGCGATATCAGCCTTACTAGGCTGAGGCGTCGTAGCAACGTCGGCGTGCGTTCTGTGCTTGCGAGCTTTCCAGGGGCTGGTATTCTGTATCAGGCATTGTTCTCCCTCTCACTCATTGCCGTCGTTTCCTCGTGTCCCTATGCTTCCTCTCGCCTTCTGTCACCTGTCGTGCGACTAAGATACCCTTTTCAGTCGATACCCTTGTATACCCAGCTTTGATACCCAGTCGCACGACTTCTCGTTCTAATCCCCTTCACTTTTGTTGAGTTGTCTCGGATGTCATCATAGTACCCAATATTACAGCGCCGATCATCAAAAGAAGACGAGTGAACCAATGAGGGCTGTTCTCACTGCACGCACGATCTTGATCCTCTAGCTTCTTGGCGAAGCTGCAAGAATCCTTCAGTTCAGTGTACACTTGCACTGCTGCGGCTTCTCTATTCCTAACATAGATAACGGGCGATACTGATTATTATGTAACGTGTACAGTCGTTTTGATTTCGATTAACGACTCGGAGGCGCTTAGCCAGGCCTGGCCTTGGACTTCATCCTATCCAGCTAACTTCTCAGCGTCGTACGCCAAGTACGTACAGCTACGTTTGTTCGGATGAGCCTTTATCGGAAGTCATTCTGATAAAGCTCTTCTCAGTCGACCGTATGTCGACACCTCAGCGAACGGAAAGCACGTTCGAGCAGATACCGGTAATGTAAGTGAACAGATGCACGAGTAAACTAGTAGATTGTGACTTCTTCCGCTTAAAGCAACATTGGGAATGCGACTAGCAGTGATCCTGCAGCTCGCAACGCGCTAGCAGATGAAATCCGGGACGCATGCATCAATGTGGGCTTCTTCTACGGTAAGCTGACAACCACTAGCAAGAGAATCCTACTCCTTTGCTCGTGGACACTTGTTCGATCACTTGCCATGCGTGCGATCTCGGGGAAGTGAACAAGAGATTGTCAAGTGTGTTTCATACTTTTGGCAATTGTCACAAATAGCTACAAGGACATACTCATGGACAGGGAGTTGGAATCTTGTTCCTATTTGCCTGTGCTTGTGCGCTTTGACAAGTGCCACAAGCCAACGAAAATACTGGCCATTCCCTTGGGCACTTGTGCAGCTCAGTGAGGTGGTTCGTGCAGTCACAAATGCTCACGAGCAGAAGTTGGGTTCTACTGATGCGCCACTGTGGAGGGCAGCATCTTATGATGCAACATCTGCAGTGAGCCACCACACAATCTCGCAAGAAACTATAGATGCGGCCATAGATGCGGCGAAGAACTTCTTCGCCCTGCCCCTCGCGAAGAAAATGTCTATTGATATACACAAAAGTTCAAACTTCAAGGGCTACACGGCTCTCTTGGGCGAGAACACGAACCCGGAGAACCGCGGCGATCTGCATGAGGGCTTTGATCTCGGCTGGGAAGAGATGGACTCTGGTATCAGTCGTAGAGACGGCGATGGTGTAATGACTGGGGTGAACGTCTGGCCCGAAGGACTCTCTGGTTTCCGGAAGGCCTGCCTTGACTATTAGTGAGCCAAGATACCCTCGCGCTCCCATTATTCTGATGTTACTTCAGCCACGCAGCAGTCAATCTCGGGAAACTGCTCTTCCCACTCTTCGCTCTCGCCCTCAATCTGCCTGAAGACTTCTTCGACGATAAGGTGATGGTCTCGCAGTGCGGCACAGCCTTTTGTTGTCTCAAGCAATCCTAGACAATCAAGCCTGCGGCGATTATGCGTCTCTTGTACTACCCCCCGCAGACCGGTGCTGTTGACGACCGCGTGGAGGGAATCGGGGCACATACCGAGTGCGCTCCAAACTACTCTCGAGTATGAGCCATGCTAATGCACTCGGATGACAAGCTACGAGGTGGGGCGCCTATGCTTGTACTGGTATCTGCTGCAGCTAATTCTCCGCGCAGTGCTTCACCATCCTGTGGCAAGACCAAGTGCAGGCGCTACAGGTGTTAAACACTGAGGGCAAGTGGATCGACGCGGTGCCTATTCCGGGCACGCTCGTGGTGAAGTAAGCCCCACTCTATGCACTAGTCCACTGTGCTCACGCCTAGATAGTCTGGGCGACCAATTCGCGCGATGGTCGAGTATGCCTGTCCATGAGTCGAACCAAATTACTGTGTTGACGTTCGCCTATCTGTCTACAGATGATATCTTCAAGTCCACAGTCCACAGGGCGGTGAACCGAACTGGTATTCAACGATTCTCTATGCCGCTGTTCTTCGGCACCGACTACAACGTCAAGCTTGAGGTGAATGATTTTATTATTTCTCGTAGAAAATGCTAAAGAGAATGACCACCCCGAAGCCGCTACCCGGCTGCGTATCGGAAGAGAATCCAGCGAAGTACGAGGTGGTGACCGCGGGAGATTATGTGAAGTCTCGTTTGGAAGCAACATATTTCTATCCAAAGTGAACGCGCTGTAAGATTACGGACTGTATTTTATTTCTGGTGTAGTAGAAGCAGAGAATGCTATAACGTGCTTTGCACATCCCATCTCTGTCCCGGTGTGAGTACCTTCCCAACCCCATCAGGTGCTACCCTGCCAAATATTTCTGCCCGCCAGGCAGTTGCCATATCGTTTGACAGAACCTTTCCAAACCAATGTGGCAAGTACACTTCTCAAACAATATTTAGTGGTCTTTAGCCCTTACTTTGAGCCTTACAGGATGTCTTTTAGACCCTAATTCGGGGCTTAGCTAGCTATATATACGTAACTTAAGCCCCTTTCTGCTACAAATCTGCGAAGGTTAGGTTATCACAAAATGTACTGTCGGGCATTCCACAATCGAAGGTATTCAAAATCTGCCATTCCAATTGTCATTCTGCCGGGAGTTTGCCTCTGATACTCATTGTTTTCTACCTTGCCGCGATCTCGGTCAGCAGGTGCCGCCACTGTTGTCGGTATTGTCACGTTGTGTGTTTCGCATCGCCAACGTGATGCAGGTCGCATGCGCCGGCCGAACGTGCGCTTGACAGTAACATGACAGACGTGCAAAGTTCAACGGACGTGACCAGACATGACGACTCCGCGGCTAAATTATTTGCGGATGGGTCCGCGGCATAGCGCAGCGTTTCTCAACCGAAATGTCGGGATATCTGGTCTCAAACCCAGCCGTCTCAATCCCCACCACCGTGGATAGGCTCGGTGGGGTGCGGCATCAAACTGGATGGGTACGAGACCACGAAATATCAGGGCTAAGCATTATGTGTATGATTAACGACGTTAGACCTACTTAATTTAGATCTGTACATAGTTCACTACGCACAAGCGCTCTGTATGCATTAGTCTACTGCTGTAACAAATAAATTACCCCTGTTTCCTGCGACAAGGCACCGCGCTGCACAGGATGTACCGGCTGTAACGGCTCCTTCGTGCATCCATAGCGGATCTTCACACCCGGAACAAGGCTCAGCTGCCTAGACCGCGTCTTATTACGATCGTTTCGTAGATGCTGGTGTAGTCTGACGTATAAAATGGCGCGCAGCCCAGAGCTCTTGCTTCCCACTCTTCTCTTACCTTCATACCGATATAAAGCCAACATTACGCACTCGTCCTAAATTCGAAAGCTACACCCCCGTTCCCCTGACCACTGCACCATGTCGAGCCCTGCCAACTCAACGCCGAGCGGCAGCTTGACACCATCGCTCCTTGCGGACCCTTCCAAAGCCCATCTATTGGCTCCAGGCCAGCTGCACCACTCTGGTAGCGAGCAGTCGTTGCATCGCATCAAGAATGTACCCGGGTATACGACACCCGTCTTCAAAGGCAAGGAGGAGCAGCGGGCGAAGGTGCAAGCTAATGTCACGGCAAAGGTATGTGCTCACTGTGGGCAGCGACCATCGTCTTGTGTCTGTTATCGTGATGCTGGTCATCTCTGTACGCGTCTGCGCTAGTCAGATCGATGCAATGCGTTATGCGACTGCCTCCGGTGGGCGGGGCTTGTCTTTGGAACGTGCAGATGCGTCTTGACACGTGCTACCGCTGGTAAAACTCCTGGGAACAGCATGTATGCGGCTTCTCACTCCTTATAAGTGCTCGTTCTCCCAGAGATGGTAGCAGCGGTAACGCGTTTACGTGTCTGCGTTGTTACGAGAACATGTCTGCATTGAACGCGAGCAGACAGCATACGCCCGATGCACAGCTTTGAGAGTGGATCATGTAGGGCAATCCGAAGTGCCTGGCGAAGATATCCTGGCTATGCTGACGCGCCAGTGATGCGTCCTGTTTCATCACAAGGAACGACGCGTCCGAATAGCTTTCTCATCGACTAGAGGGCTTTGTCGACGTGATTTGGCCTGTTCTCCCACTCGTTTCCTGCGTCGACGCGTTATTTGACCCTTCTCTACAATCACACTAACTGGCACTCAATTCGATAGGGTTTCATCCCGCGCGAACTAGTCGCAAACGAGGTTAACTGGTTCTATGCGCACCTCGGGATCGACGACACGTATTTCCAGGCCGAGTCCGTCGACATGATCTCGGATCACATTATTGCACTCTTCGGTGCGAAGGTTCTTGCGTACACCAAGCACGACCCATCGAAATTGGTGATCGACCTCGAGAAGTTGGACGAGAACACGGGCGCGACGTTCATCCACACGAGCTCCCCGGGAAGAACAGCGGTCGAGGGTCCTGGCGCAACGTGCGAGAGCCGCATCGACGAGCTATTCCTGGATAAGAGCACTCCGCAGAATGCGTTCAGGCTTGAGACATATCGATCGCAGGGGTCCATCTCGTCAACCGCATCCCAACAGCTGCGGTGCTATTTCGTAACAAAGTGCAACTTCCCTGAGAAGCTACCGGCGGAGACGCACGCAGATAGGTATATTTGCTGTCCTTATATACACAGTTATGGAGACTGAGAGCTGCATACACACAGTAGGACTGATATTCGTGCCGTATCCGATCCGGTCTTCCTCGAGAAGGCCAGTGAGAACACACTTGAGATCTACCAGCGTGTCATGTGGAATGTCGAGACGCGTTATGGCCCCGTCATCGAGGTTTTTGAGGTAGAAGGCAGTCGCGAGCGCCGCCTCGTAATCGGCTATAAGATGGGCGGCACGAAGAAGTTCTTCAGCGCGCTATCGAATCTGTACCACTTCTACTCTCTTTACTCAGCGCGCAAATATGTGGGTGCGTGCATTCTACCTCACCGACTCTAGCGGCATCATTAACTGATCGACGGTAGAGCAATTCTCGAATGGAATCACAATCATCTCACTGTACCTCAACCCACTACCGAACTCGAACGCGCCGCCTATTGAGCACTCAATCTTCCAGGTCATGAAGGAGGCATCCCTCCTGTACTGTTTGCCTGACAACCCCTTCTTCTATGCTGGGGATGGCCCCAATGGTGGACATGCCGTACAGGAGGCAACCTACGCTTGTAAGTGGCTACTTGGCTCAGCTAAGAACGGCGGAATGATTGTAGCCATTCAGATTGCGGCTGGATCTTCGCCCAGCATTTCTGCAACCGCCTTGGTCCTGCGTATCTCGCGCTCAAGAATATCTTGGATGAGTCCAACCCATCGCACGCTGAGGTGCTGAACGACATCAAGAGAAGGTTCAGGGAGGAGACGTTTACGAGAGAGAGCATTGCGCAGGTGATCCATGCCCACGCAGATCTGGTAGGTTTCGATTCAAGCATGCTGCGATCATCATGTCATCATTGCTCCCGATCATAGATCAACTTGCTCTATGTGAACTTCGCGATGGTTCATTATCCGTCATCAGACCAAGCTTCTCAGCTGATGTAAGTGAATGCATGGATGCTTTAGTTTCGTCTATCTCACATGGTGCCCGTCAGGCCTACGCTCTCGTATCAGCGTCTCCAGACGCAGCTCCCGCTCTCTGACCAGGATCTTCATGACAAGATCCGGAAGACAGTTCCAAACAAACACGAGCTGCAAGTGCTCGAGAGCTTTCTCATCTTCAACAAGTGAGGATTTGCATGTCTCTTTGCTGTTATGAATGAACACTTACCTCGCCTATTTTTACAGACATGTCCTGAGGACCAACTTTTACCAGCCCACGAAGGTCGCGCTGTCGTTCCGCCTTGCACCCGAGTTTCTCCCCGAGGTGGAGTACCCAAAGAAGCCCTTTGGCATGTTCTTTGTAATCGGTGTGTCGCGCGTATTTTGGTTGATAGACATGATCTGACGCGAGCGTGCAGGCGGAGAATTCCGCGGATTCCACATCCGCTTCAGGGATGTCGCCCGAGGAGGCATTCGCATTGTGATGTCGAGAAACCGAGAGTCAGTATACAGCCTAGTTCCACCCGTTTGTCATATACTGACGATCCCTTCGATCTACAGAACCTATTCTATTAATCAGCGGATGCTGTATGTACCAGCCTTCAATGTGGTTGTCTCTGCCGGTGCTAACACATTACCCTAGCTTTGACGAGAACTATGGTCTAGCTTCGACTCAGTCGCTAAAGAACAAGGATATCCCAGAAGGTGGTGCCAAGGGTACTATCCTCCCTTCGTACGTTGCACATCGTGGATCACCAGGAAATAGGCATTGACTCATATTTCTGCAGTCTCGGCGCGAGTCCGAGGCTTTGCTTTGAGAAATACGTTGACGTGAGTCTTAGTCTCATCTGCTAACTGACATAGCGACAGTATGTCTGACTCTATACAGGCTGTCGTCGACTTGTTGATTCCTGGCCGCAGCCCTGGTATCAAAGAACAGATAGTTGATCTGTATGGTAAGCCTGAGATGCTGTTCTTCGGCCCAGACGGTACGTTCTCTATAGTCGAAAAATTGACTGACGCACTCATCCACGGTATCATTCAGAGGGCACCGCAGATATGATGGACTGGGCTGCCCGTAAGTCTAACTTTATATAGACCCTCCCTTCCAGCACCTCGTTGACGCTACTTTAGTGCACGCTCGTGAGCGTGGCGCGGAGACATGGTGGAAGTCATTCACGACCGGCAAGAGCGCAGAGACATTGGGCGGAATCCCTCACGACGCGTTCGGGATGACGTCGCTGTCAATACGTCAATACGTCCTGGGTATCTACAAGCAACTCGGGCTCCGTGAAAAGGACATCACGAAGGTCCAAACGGGAGGACCTGGTACGCTGTGTTACTGTCCTGTTGAGGGCTGCGCAGGCTAAGTTTCTGATCATTTTCTAGACGGCGACCTCGGTTCTAGTGAGTGAGGATAAATCATGGCCATGGATAGCATTCTAAAGATTCTGCAGACGAGATACTTCTAAGCTCTGACAAGACCATTGCAATCATCGACGGAAGCGGCGTGCTTGCAGACCCCGCAGGAATCAATCGCGAGGAGTTGGTTCGCCTTGCAAAACTTCGGGTACCAGTCGCGCACTTCGATCGCTCGAAATTGAGCAAGGACGGCTACTTGGTGGTTGTAGAAGAGCAAGACATTAAATTGCCATGTAAGCTCATGTGGCTGTAAAACCTGTATACAGACTCATCCGTACGACAGCGGGAGAGATCGTGCTGGATGGTACTGATTTCCGTAACACTGCACACCTACGATTCAAGGCAGACCTCTTTGTTCCGTGCGGTGGTCGGTGAGTGGACTTGTCATTAGCATTTACCACGCCTTTCTGATGATCTGCCAACCGTAGTCCTGAAGCTGTGAATATCTCCAATGTCGCTGCTCTGGTCGATTCCGAGGGCAAGCCGAATTTCAAATACGTTGTTGAGGGCGCAAACCTCTTCCTCACGCAACAGGCTCGTATCTACCTTGAGAAGCGCAAGGTTGTTCTTTTCAAGGACTCGAGCACCAACAAGGGTAAGCATCGCTTGTTATCATTCACCAGGATTCCCAGTTCATAGCTATGTTCTCAGGTGGTGTCACTAGTTCCTCCCTCGAGGTGCTGGCCGGACTCGCTCTCTCCACCCAGGAGTATGTGGATTTGATGATCTTCAAGGATGGGAAGCCGTCACAGTTCTACGAGAACTACGTCAAGGACATCCAGCAGAAGATCACCGAGAACGCAGCAGCCGAGTTCCAGTGCATTTGGCGCGAGCACGCCCATGCGCAGGGCACCAAAGCGCGCACCATCATCTCGGACGAGCTGTCAAGCACGCTCAACAGCCTGCAGGCTGAGCTCGAGAGTTCGGATCTATATGACGACGCAACGACGCGCAAGAACGTCATGTCTCGCGCCATTCCCAAAACATTGATCGGACAAGTCGGTCTCGACACCCTGCTGCAGAGGCTGCCGGAGCCCTACCAGCGCGCGCTCTTCTCGAGCTGGGTGGCGTCACATTTCGTGCGTATCATTGCAGTCGCGCTAATATTGAGCACCTATTAATTTCCCAATCCGATGTACAGATCTACAAATATGGCGTCAACGGAACCGCAGTCGATTTCTTCCACTTTGTTCGCGATCTCGCCTTGTAGACTATCGCCGTTAAGATTCATATTGCCTAAAACGCCTTGGACTCTACTTGAATAGTCGTAGATATTGTCCCCTTGAGACTAATCATCCGGATTGTATTGTATCGTGATGGGGTGTAGAAAAGTGCAGCAATCAAAGGAATCTCCAACCGGCATGGCTCAGGTACTAATCATTTCATTGCGAGGGCTTTGCTCCAGGTTACGTTGACTTGCTGTGTATAGAGCAATGCAGCATAACTACACTGCGGGACACGAGGCTGAAACATCACAAGCAGGTTTTGTGCATCCTATATTGACGGTATCCTCTCTAGAAATACATACATATTTTCCCTTTCCCTCTCTTCGTTATTTTACCTCCTGCTACTGGCCACCCGGGTGGCCGACGTTTAGTCGAGCTGAGACAGTCCGTCCTTGAGATACTCCTCGAAGAGCGGCTTGTAGTCCCGGTGCCATCTGCTGAGCGCAGGGCGGCCCTCTGCGACGTCGCCCGCAGTCCACATGATGCGGAGCTGGTCGACCTCGCGACGGGTCTCGTTGTCCGGGCAAAGGATGTAGAACTTGCCCTGGCGCACCTGGTCAAGCTGGCGATGAAGAGAGTCAGGCGCTGCATATCGAGCAGCGAAAGGGATGATCTATGAGCACGTACCGCGTAAAGCACAGTCTCCTGGGGTGTCCAGGCGCCCTGGGGCTTCTCTGCGCCGCTGTTTGCGCCTGTCATGCCCGTCCACACCCACCCAGGGCTGAGACGGCGCAGGTAAGCAAGCAGTAGCAACAGAGAGAATGAGACGTACATAAGGAGATGGGCGGTGAGGTTGGACTCGGGTGTGCCGCGGAGCTCGTGTGCGAGTCCTTCTGTGAGCGATTTGACGGCCGCCTTGGAAGCGTTGTAGGCCGCGTTCCCTCTGAGGAAACAATCAGGAGATGAGGGACTGCGCAGGGCAGCTGATACGCACGGAGGGTTCGTGATACCCTGCTTGGATCCCGTGTTGAGGATGACTGCAGGGTTCTCCTGGTGGAGCATGGACGGCACGAATGTCTGCTGGACGTTCACGATGCTGCGATACCGCATCGGTGACCAGGCATCGACTGTGGTGCGACCACGACGTACCCGAAGACGTTCACATCGAAGATCTTGTGCCAGTTGTCCAGCCCATCCCAGGACGTGCCGTTCAATCCGATACCCGCATTGTTCATGAGCACGCCGACCTGCACAGACGAGCACGCGCACGCGGCATCGCGGGGTGGTCAGAAGCTCGTTCCGCATGCCGCGGGGCAGCGTCGCAAGTCGTCGCCAAGCAAGGGCCCGCCCGGCAGAGCTAGCTCACCTCGCCCCACGCCTCGTACACCTTGTCGCGCAGCCGGACGACGTCGTCGAGCTTGCTGACGTTGGTCGGCACGACGAGCACGTTCGCCTCGCCGACGATCTTCGCGACCTCCGCGCCGGTCTGGAGCAGGCCGTCCTCGTTGACGTCGGCAACGGCGATCTTCAGACCGATCCTTGGATCGCCCGATGTTTCAGCGTTTGCACTGCGGATCCGTGGTTGCTCACAACTCACTTTGCCAGTTCCAGGGCTGCAGCACGCCCGATCCCGCTGGCCGCGCCAGTGATCACGGCGACTCGACCTTCATGGATGACGGGGTGTACTTGGGAGTCGGTTGGTGCCATAGGAGTCTCGAATGCAAAAGATGAGCCTGGTCGGAGAGGAGAGGGTCGACGACTGGATCCGTTCACGGTGAGATTCATCGTGAGCCCCTATGTAAATAGCTGAGGAATTCGGAATGAGTTCGGGAGATTGAAGTGGCCGGGGACAGGTTCGAGCACGTTCTGGGCTTATATGTTGTTGCAGTTGTGCCTTGTGGCATGACGTTGAGGGCGATATCTCTCTCCAACGCGCGCTGAACAGTTTGTATTCACTCTATGTACTGTATACCGATACTGTTATCACAATTACAGCATATTCAGTCGCGACGAAACCAAGTAATCCCATGTCCTTTCGTTTGTGGAGATTGCCGCACCCGTTACTAAGTTATCTACGTCTCTTAGGTGTTACCGTGAGTTTTCTGTCCTTACTCAGCGGCAGATACCTCTACAGATGTTGATCTTACGCGGAGGGGTAGGCTGCCGCGGTAAGCCAAGAAGAAATCCTCATCTTCTCGAGGGGATTCGATGGCGTGACTAGAACGACCGTCAGCTAGCAGGAACAGAAAACAGGGTGAATAACTCTACCAACTGCGTACGTGCTTGACGACCACAGCGCGGGGCTGTAGGTCTTCGAGGTGGGCACTGCAGTGGTTACAACTCCACGCACACCATCTGTACCAATCGCGGATCTCCAGCTCTTTGATTCTCGCCCAACACGTTGAGGGAGTGAGCTTGCAAAATCTGAGCGGGTGTCTTTCTTCCTCCACATGAGCCACCTGCCAAAAATTGTAAACATCGACGTCAAAGGTGTATCATGCATCACTCACGTAGCGCCGCCAGCAGAATGCTTCATAACCAAGTACATGCCTACTCCCATCATTTTGAAGCAGGTTTGGGAGACATTTGGTACAAATGAACCGTGCATCTATTCTGTCGAGATCCTCCGGGCGTGAGGTATTGGGATCAAGCTGGAGTAGCCGTAGCAAGTAGTGAACAGCAGTAGGTCCCCTAGGCCAGAAACGCACGATCCTTTGCCCTGGGCTGGCCTTGACAGGATCCCGGATAAAGTACCTGTATTTCTGCCAACGAGATCCATAACGGCCGATAGTGCTTCCACAGTTATGTTGTTGAACCTCCGCCCAGGAGAACAGCAGGCCCCTGGTGCAGGGCCGCGTGGCTACGCATTTGAAAACTGCAGTTGCCAAAGAGAGTCGGTCGATCTCCATGGCATGACTGTGACCTGCAGCACCAAGCTCTTTGTACAGCCCTTCTCTCCGCCGCTCAGAGAGTTCCTCAGCGACCTCCGGGGCACAACTGAAAGCAGCTTCGTAGCGAGCCAGATCAGGAGGGGCATCCGAGTCATCATTGACGAGGTCATCAATCTCTGGTACCTGCCGCATGGTAGAGAGGCGGGGCAGTGTTGTCCATTGGATAGGTGTCAGAGTCCTCTTATAGTTGTTATAGGCGGGTTCGAGGGCCTTTATGCGCGAGTGTATGAGATGCCGACGCTCGCGTGCAATACGTGTCTCCAGTGCCTTGATCAGATGGGGCTCGAGCCTTCCGCGAACGCGCATCCAGTCTGGTAGCATGTCAGTCTTCTGTTGAAAGGTTGCATATGCCCAACAGACACTCACTGGTATCCGTGATTCTGTGATCACTCGCGCATATGATGCTACGAATACTTTCAATGTCTTGTTGCTCATAGGAGAGTTCCATAAATCTTTTGAGCGCTCTGTGCTGGTCGTTCAGTACAATGGATCTCCTTGAGACATTTTGAGACCCCAAACGTACTCTCCGTAGCGCACATTGTCACGTTCTTCTCTCTCGCGTGCACGGTCTTCGGTATACTCTATCATCCAATCGGCATAAGGGGCCGCAAACTGAACACACGTTAAGTATTTGATCATGAACTACGCAGTAGTAGCAGCGACCAACTGACCTTATACACAGATCGGACGTACGATTTCCGCGTCATGCAGAATGTCTCAAGCGCCTGCTCCGCACCTGCTTTGTGCAAACGCACATCGTCCTTTAGTTGATTATACACCGCAGACAAGGCCTGCACGTCAGGACCCCAATAGCATTGCCACTCATGATAATAATTAAGCCGTATGCGCCCTGCCGGGGTTCAAATTAACGCAATCAGTGCGCTGTCGTAATGCAAACCAGTGAAAACTCAACAGAAGGTGGAGTGCGGCACATAATCGAAGAGTGATTCGCGAGCGTCGCGACAATACCATCGGAAACGAGAGCGATGGACAACGCTGTGCCTCGAATCAACAGATGAAAGATAACATTAGCTAAATTCCATACGCACTGTTTCTTCAAACATTTTCTACAGAAGCGTCGCCGCATTGAAAGGTCAATGTGTTCGTTGTACCCCATACCGCACTAGAGGTAATCAAACATTTCAGCGAAGCACCCGGCAACAAATGTGTGCGTACCTGGCATTTCGGTCCCCCAAGGATCAAGCGGGCCCACTGTGGCTCGGAGACATCGGGAGGACACGGAGGAGTTCCATCAGGGACCCTCTGCAGAGCCATCTTCCAGACACCTCTTTGGTCAGGGGACATGAGGAATGAGCGAAAAGACCGGTTTGTGTCGACCAGCGTGATCAAATCGGACGGTAGAAGATAACTAGTAATCTTTGAATGATCTCAGAGTCAGCCCGGGTTCAAAACAAAATCCGACGAGGTGTTGAACAGACCTCCAGTATCAGGTCCAGGCTCAAGGTCAGTAACTTGCTTGCGGAGGGCGGTTGGCCAGAATGCGATGCTGTCACTGAAGGTGTCGATGTTTCTTCTTTGAGTTCAGGGCCGTCATCTTCGTCGTCGCTGCAAATGCTGGCTTCACTTTCGTTGTCATCGTCATCGCTAGAATCACTTGAATATTCGTAGCAATCGTCACTGTCACTGTCAGATTCGTCGACTATCCAATATTGTTCTTCGACGTATCCCGACCCGTGATTTTCCGTTTCCGTGTCTCCGTTATTTTCTGGACCGCTTCCTTGCTCAGGCGTGCGAGCTCCTGCTTCGCTCAACGCGTCTGTGGCGTCAATTAACGAGGCCGAATCTGTGGCATTGACGTTGTCGGCCATGTCTTGATTGTCCAGAATCCCGAGCTTTCAATGAGGATATGACGCGTGGGCACTAAGAAAGTAAACAGTGCTCTCAGAAGGAGAGAGATGGTGGTAGTCTCAAATGAGACGTGTGGTGCGAACGCGCTTTAAGACATCCGGTTCGCCACAATTGAACGCGGTCACGGGATCGACACGTCCGTGCGAAAGAATGAAATCATCATCTTTCGAAAGTCAACAAAGCAACAGACCTGAAAGGGTGTCGTGCACGACTTCGCAATAGAAGCCAAAGCTGATGGTGAATCTCCAATGCCTATGCCGAAGCATGCGCAGTATACCCGTACTGAATATCTATGATGTGGTTCACTAACTGGCCATGATCTGGTATAATAGAAGTGTGTTACTCACGTCGCTTGCCATCAGTGAGTCTGATCGCTGTGTATGTGCTTGACTCATGTCTTGAATATCTTGTCCCCGAAACTAGCTGGGTTGAATCGCTGTATTGGCGGGATATGTACGGGGGTATATACATCCCACTCATAATGCATCTCATCGTGTACTATGCTTGCAGTTATTTTCATCTTTCAACCTCATAGTGCTTGGGCTTTGAGAAAAAGATATGAGTATCGTGCATGCTATATCGAGAGTAACTAATCGGCCTTCCAAACGAGGCAGATAAAAGCCTTTGCCTCTTGCTGAATTCTCGAGCACCTTGCTTGGTCATGGACACTTTGCAACACGTAGATCATCGACTACCGTATTGGGCTGACGCGTCCGAGAGGGTGGCCTATCATCTATCGGGCATTCGGTTTCACAAAAAAGCTCAGCGCGGTGCGGTTGTGAGATATCGGCGACATCACAAGGCCTAGCTGAAGTCTGTCCTGTTATGGGACAAGCACTTGCTTCTCGGACTTGTGATTGTGTGCACTTCTCAGATTCTGAGTTGAAAGACGTCAGCTTGCAATGAAACTTGAATGTCTGAAACCGTCCAACCCGTACTATACGCTCCGCATAACCCTTCGAGTCTCCAGTATCTCCGAATTGTCCGAACTGAACCCGGTTCTATAGACAGGACGATTGTGCTAATACTTGAAAAGCATATGAAGACGAGGGGATCACAGCAAGGGCCGCGTCTATCTCAGGCCTCAGGGTCCTCATTCGGTTGCCTATCTCGGATGGTCCGCCTGCCGCCGCCGTCTCCGGAGCGCTGACCCCTGCCGTGAGCTTCTACACCACATTGCCCAAAGTTTCACCGCGACAGGAGGTCTATCGTTGTTTGATTTCACTGAAAATCTGCGGTAACCTACTAAGTTACTAGTAGCGACTTGAATGCGAAATAAACACGCCTGTTAGGATGGTCATTTGAAACTTCACTTATAAGTAAGTACTCGCCCATTTTCAGATTGTGTCCTAACATCTCTGCCGGATATACCGTCTTCGCAGGTCTCATGGCGAGATTGCCGTGTTTCAATCCGCTGCTGCATAGGTCATAGGTCAATCTATTTCACATTATTGGCTGCAGAAAGCGACTTTCCCAAGCTTTAACATCGAGATCATGCTTCTATCAAGAGTGGGAGGAGCCGTGTGAACCCCCCTACTCTCCTATCGTATTCTTCGCAAAATGGAGAGAAACATAATGGCCTCCTGCAAGGTTCTACGGAAAATATATCTGCGGTCGGTGTTAAATCATTACTCCTTCAGTCGATCCTCGGAAGTCTCCTTGTGCAGACGTTCTATTCACAGGTTTAAGTCGGTGACTTCATCTTCATTTTTTCACTTGGTTGACAAGCTTTGGATGAGTACAAGTCTTCAAACTTCAGGGCCTATCATTTTGAAAGCGGAGTTGCGGCATCCCTTTCCCCGAGGCTAGGGAACGAGTGTCGTAAGCTTGGTCCGCTGAGATGACTAGAGCCTGGAGCTTGTTTGTCGTGTCACGTCCAAAGCTTTGTGGTATCTCCCATTTTCCTTATCTATATTCAGCCAGCATCGAAGGTTCTTGGCCCTCCACCTGGCGTCCGATATGAGGAGCCATTTGAAAGAGATACCACTGGCGAATCTCCCTCTGTCGCACGTCTGCTCTCCAACGTTGGCAGCAAACTAGCAAGTGATGTTACAAGAATCCGCTGTGAAGGACACAAGTGAAGTTTACGTCAAGGCAGCCAGAGAAGCTATTTCCATGGCGGAAGAGAAGGAAGGAACCATCGTCGCCGATGATGTGCGACTGGCTGAGCTGGGATACAAGAGCGAGTTCCGGCGGGAATTCTCGGTGAGTTGCTTCTGCGACTTTGCGAAGATGCGTAAAATGAATTAAACATTTGCAGATGATCGAGACTATAGCGTTCTCGTTTTCGATCATGGCAGTGATCCCAGGCATTGCTTCCACATTGTCCATCTCGCTCCCCGCAGGTAAAGTGAGGTCTTTCAACAAATGCTCCGGCGTCGCTCACTCTAGGACGCCAGGTGGGCATGTTGGCCTTGTGTGGGGATGGTTCATTCCTTGTTGGTTCGTCATGTGCGTTGCAGCATCCATGGCGGAGCTGGCTTCGTCAATGCCGTAGGTGTCTCCACCCCTGCATCATATTCATGTTCTGACGACGTCAACAGGACGAGCGCGGGCTTGTATTACTTCTCTGCAAAAATGGCCCCACCACAATATTCTGCGCTCGCAGGCTGGATCACTGGCTGGGCGAACATTACAGGTCAAGTAACGCTAGTGTGCTCTATAGACTATACTTTGTATGTCTGTCTGCACCCTCCCCTTGATGTTCTCATTGGCATTCTGCAGGTCACAGATGATAACAACAGGCATAGCTGTTGGCACAGATGGTGCGGTGAATTTGGGAGCAGGTCCCACCTACGGAATTTTGCTTTCAATGCTGTTCATGCATGGTTGCATCTGTTCTGCTGCTACGAAAGTACTAGCACGCCTCAATCTCTTTTATGCATTCGTGACCTGTAAATCCGGCCCTCCTTTTCTCTCTGCAGTCGATACTGACATCTCACCAGTCGGGGTCACAGCGGGCGCGATAATCGCGCTCTTGGTATGTTCTGGTGAGAATAGAGTATCTACCAAAACCGCCTTCACGATGTATGAGAATCATACGGGATGGGAAAATGGTATACATGTCTTTGCGGCCTAGTTGTCCAAGCTCAACGAACATTAATGTTGCAGAGGGCTGGGCCTTCCTCTTGGCGTTCACGGTACCGATGTGGACATTCACCGGCTGTAGGTCTATATCAGGTTATATGCTATAACCGGGTTCTCAATTTCCCTCCTAGACGACTCCGCCGCACACATCTCTGAAGAGATATCAGGCGCCGCGCGTGCAGCGCCAGTCGCCATCCTGGTGTCCGTAGCATCAGTCGGATCCCTCGGCTGGATATTGTGCATTGCGGTCTCTTTCGCAGTAGCCTCGGTACCCACCATAATCAACTCCGAACTCTCGCTACCAATGGGCCAGGTCCTACTGGACGTGGTGGGCAAGCAAGGCATGCTTGCAATTTGGTGCCTCATCATCAGTGTCCAGGTATGCATGGTGTACGCGAGTGTCAGCAAGGAGAGTCCATTGACAAGAGCGCAGTTCCTGTGTGGTGCAGCACAAGGTGTCGACGCCTCCCGTGTCATCTTCGCGTTCGCGAGGGACAACGCGCTCCCCGGATCACGTTGGTGGAAGAAGGTAAATCCTCACACGCAGACACCGGTCAACGCTGTCTGGCTTGTGATGTTCCTCGCTGCAATCTGCGGGCTACTAGGATTCTCTTCTACTGCGCTCACGTCGCTTGCTGGGTGAGGCTTCCTTTGAGGCGCTGGACGCATACTGGCTTACCAGAAACTATACGGCAGGGCATCCGTTATCGGCATGTACACGTCATATGCAACGCCAATTTTCCTGCGCATGACCTCGGGAAGAGACAAGCTCATTCCAGGACCGTTCTCGCTGGGCCGGTGGTACCTCCCCATTGGCAGCATCGCCTGCGCCTGGGTGACATTTATTGTTGTCTTATTATGCTTCCCGATGACCAATGCGGCAAACTCGCAGAACATGAGTACGTCGAGGAAGGTTTGCTTCGTGTGGATAACCTAATAACCGTGGTATCGTACAGACTACGCCGTGGTGATCATTATGGCTGTATTTGTTTTCGCTGCGGCCTGGTGGGTAATCTCTGCGAGGACTTGGTTCGTGGGACCGCTCCCCAACGTTGAAGATGAAGGCTCGCTGGCGTCTACGGAGAAACTGGAGTAGCAGAGATCGTTGCAATTCCACAATCCAATACCACTTTATAGTTGCGGCCACGCTCCGTCTGACGTATCTTAATAGACACAAGCACATTATAAATAACAAAAGCTATCCTCAGTCGGTGCGCAGAGCGAGCAGGACCACTCGTATATTTGTTGCATCCATTCACTACTCGGAGGTCTGGGTGTGCTATCCAACGCGATTAACTTGCGGAACCCGGCATCCCAGCCTGCAGTCTCCCAATCAATACGCTCACTCCACACCATGATGTTGTGGCTCAAGTCGCTATGAGTGAAGACGTTTCTGTTTGACATGTCCCAAGCCGTGCAATAATATGAAAGATAGTGTTCAATTGTCTTATCAACATCAACCTAACATTCCAGGTTTTCCGGTGTAACCAGCTCGTCGCGGATAGCGTGGTGGGGATCTTCAGATGGCCTAGAACGTGTATCGTGATTCGTCTCCTGGCGTACGTACAGAATTAGACAGACGCCTACAGCAAGAGTTTGACAATCATATGACCGTAGCGGTGCGACTCTCACTGACAACTGGTGAATTTCGTCTGAGACCCGAAGCGAGATCGACAAAAATATATAGCGTCTGTTTGTCTGAGCTCTGTCAAACGCGCAAGGAACACACAGACTCGAGGCTCGCGCAAGATCTGCAAGGTACTACAAACAACAACAAATACAATGGCATGCCAGTGCGCTCGCCACAATTCCAACTATGTCTCCAATGAGCTCTGGCCTCATGTGCCTACTTCGGCAGTTGGTATCGGCAGTCGGTAGACCCCCAAGCCGGCAGGCGTGACCTGCCGCCAATTAGAGAGCAGTATTACCCGGGATCGCTCGCAATTCGATCAATTCTTGAAGTTTGGCTCGCCACTGGGCCAATCAAGCGATGGTGCAGACTTCAAGGGGGGTTTGCCGACTGCCCGGGTAGGCATAGTATTTGTTTTTGTGAAGTTGATGCAATGACCAGTCACTAAATATTCATAGGCTAATCAGACGGGTGTTGAAGCCCAGGCGCATGATCTAGATACGATCATAACATACCGTTTTGAGAATGGGTGCTCTAAACATCAGAGGTGAACAGCACTTCGCTCACAGTGTGTTAGTACGTGCCGAAGAGATCAAAGGTCTTCCGACTTAACTTCTCGCTAGAATTAATTGTGAGTCAGAATGAGCACGACAGCTGCATGATGGGCGCATAACGTGTTCATCGATACCAGCATCATCACGATACAGCCGCTCCAGGATGATTGCTCCGATGCCTGGCGCAACACGCGGTGGACAAGATTTTCTGGAGGCGAATACAAAGAGATAAGTAGGCCAAGTCCCTAGTCGTTGCATCGGACGCCTGCGTCCTCCTCTGAGGTCCCTCCTTCCAACAACGGCGCATCATCTTTGCCAGTCCCCTCTTGTAGTAGGTCTAGCAAAGCAGCTCAATATCGCCTTGTCTTTACCAGCAGTGTCGCCGTTTTAAACCTCGCATCGCCATAATTTCCCAAGCCCCTGCGGTCGATCTTTCTGTCTCGCTCCGCCCTCTCAATAGAGCGGGCCTCCTTCAGGAACTCATATCCCGTCGGGCTCTGCAGTTCACTTGACACGGAGCGGAGCGCGAGCTATCCCCCTTGTCCCTGCCGCGACGTTCCTAAGATTTCTCGGTATGTTTGACGTGCACTGCTTGATCGCGTCTACTAACGACCTTCCAATTCTAATCAGAGATCATGAGTGATTCAGAAATTGAGGACCATCGTCCGAACAGGGCGCCAGATACACTCTTACCACATCCTACCGTCGTCCCTGTCCCTACCGCCGCCTTTCACCATCACCAGTCACCTATATCTAACGTGCCTGCGGACGTTCTCTTGCTGATCTTCCGCGAGATCAACGAGTCTACCCTGCGGGAGTGGGAGAAAGGGGTACCTTTCCCGGACTCCGTCGCTTCCGTTTGCACTCAATGGAGGGATGTCGTGTCCTCCGTGTCCGCGTTCTGGAGCTTCATACTCATTGCTGTCGACGAGGCACGACCTACGCCATTGACGGTTGTCAGCCGCCACCTTTCTCATTCGAGAAACCAGCTTCTTGACATCCAAATTCGTCAGCTTTGCCTTCCATGGCACCCAAGGCTCTACAGGTCCTCCGAGCAGCCGGAGAATTGCGAAGACCCCGGGGAGAGGGACCGTGTCGCTGCCGTCATGAATCTGATTATGCCACATCAAGGTCGTTTGCATGACCTTTACTTCAACATCCTGCACCGCACGTCAATGCCGCGACCCTACATGGATTTCCACGGTACCTTCCCTCGCCTCGAGAACCTGACCATGATATACAACTCCGAAGACGGCCAAGACGACCGACTTGCCCTCCCCATACGCCCTCTAGACGCCCCTATTCTAGGGTTTCTCGATGTGGCTGGCCCCGTTCTGCGCCAGTTCCATGAGTCATCGATGACTTGGCCCTTTCCTGAACTCGGGATTTTGCTAGTTGGGCCATACCCGGAATACCCTCCGTGGCCAGTAGCCGATTTCGCGGCATGTCTCCGTAAGATGACCGAACTTGAAATGCTCGAAATGGAAGATCTAGAACTGGCGCATTCTGGACCAGACGGCGCCGATTCGCTCGATTGGTTGCAGCATTTGAACATCGAACGCATGCGCGGCGATGTCATAGGGAATATCAATGCACTCCTCGGCTTTCCTGTAACGGGACACGTGACGTACAACTCATGTTCGATCCCGACGTACGTTCGACTATTCGATAAGATGACACGAAGGTGCCATTTGATAGACATGGAGTCGGTGGATGTCTTGAATGTCCTCCTCAACGAGAACTATGATTTGGAGACGCTCGAGATTGAAGAAAGCATATTCACGGAGGAGATCATTGATGCACTCGCTGAGCCGTCGGACGAAGGCAGCTGGATGTGTCCCAATCTGACCAGCATCACCCTTTCAGGTTACTGCTTCGGCTTCTCCGATGAGAAGCCAGCACAAACCGCGTTCGTGAATATGATCAAAATGCGACACACCACGCATCATGTCTACACAGAATCTATTCGCCTGGGACACGAGGCCAAACTAGGTGTCGTCCCTCTAACCCATATCCGGATCGACATCTCGGTGTTGGACGATGACGTCGAGGCGCTCGATAAAGACGATTTAGAATGGCTCGACGCACATATCTATTCCGTGGAATGGGGAAGCTGGTCCGGAGGAACAGGGAGGCGTTCTCAGTCTGCAGATGACGGGGCTGAATGAGTCGAGGCTTGTGGTATAACCATCATAATATGGTGAACCGCCCTTTCACTCACCAAATGATGAGCAGGTGTGAGTCAAGGCATCGCGGGTGGCTGCTCGGATGATCGTGAAGCCTTGGACGATGACGAGAGCGCAGGGCCAGATGGATGTCGATGAATACGGTGAAAGAGAGCATAAGGATGGCAAATGTACGGTGTCAGGACGTCGGTAAACGGATTGAGAAAGCCATAGAAACGACCCGCATGAAGTGCTGCTTCATCAAGAAGTTGGAATTCAAACGTTTGCAACGTATTAGGATAACTCACAGTTGACTGTATTAGAATGCATTTTACTAGATGATTGTCTAATTTCCAAACCAGAGATATCCGACAAAATGGGTAAATATCGGTATCCCAGATCTGTACGACCATCGCCGTGGTGCAGTACTATGTCGCGGCACAGGCCACGCAGTGGCAATAATCACCGTGTATCAACTACAGACTGGTTGAGAAGGATTGAAGAATAATGCATGACTGAGGCAGATATAACATACAAGGTGACCTAACTCGGAGCTCTTTTTGATTGTAGAGTCTCCTCGTGGTACACTAAAATACTATCCGCAGAGCGTAAGCTGCAGATTCACAGCACTTGCGGGAGTCGCTTTGTAGGGCTCGTGTTCCCTTCAACCATCACCCCGGAACTCATCAAACCCACATCGCTGCAGGGGTTCAAATTGGTTCAAAATCTTCTTGATAGCGCGCCAGATCTGGTGAATTGCTGTATGCGATTGAGACTGTCTGATTCACGCCCGCATCCAAATAGTACGTTCGGCCTCATCTTCCATCCGCTTCTTCCTGTCCTGATGCGTCTGATCAAGTCATGGCAAACGAGCCAGTCAATGTAGAAAGCAACATCTCGAGCACGCTACCTCATGCAATGCTTGCGCCCTTCCAGCCACACCGTACATCCATCTCAGATATGCCAAACGACGTGCTGGTGCTGATATTTCACGAGATATTCGAGTTCGCTAGGCCTATGGGACGATGGATACGAACCGGATTGGAGTTCCCAGAGTCAGTTGCATCTGTCTGCTCCCAGTGGAGAGCAGTCATGTTCTCGGTGTCCATATTCTGGACCGCCATGCTCATCACCGTCGACGATAACCCCACACCGCAGTCTATCATTCGCAGATATCTTACCCTATCAAAGGAGCGGCCGCTGGACATCACCATTTGTCGAGATGAGATGAGCCTCGACCTCTTGAGAGCGCGCGTGTCTGAAGATCCGGAATATCGTGCAAGGCTGGCCGATCCTGTGGAAAAATGGCGGATGGCTGCTGTCATGGACCTCCTGACTCCGCACCAGGCTCGTTGGGAAAGACTCTATATTCACGTCATGCACAGTACGTCGCTCCCGCAGCCATACCTCGATCTGAGTGGTACCTTCCCGAGCTTGAAGTATCTATTAATACACTGCGTACTTGACGAAGGTCCAGATGAACGTTTCGCTCCGACGGCCGTGAACATAGATGACCCTATTCTCGATGAATGTTTCGCTCCGACGACCGGGATCATGGATGTTCCTATACTCGAACTGATGGAGGCTAGCGGTCTCTTTCTACGCCAAATGTCAGATACCACATTCCCCAATCTCGACGAGCTCACCATTGAAGAGTACCCACGACACTACCCTCCTTGGACAACGACTGATCTCATTACGTGCATTCGCAAGATGCCTGCACTCCTTACACTGCGTTTAGACAATGTCAGCCTCGAAATCCTTGACGACGAACTTCCCGATGATGACCGCGCATCAAAGCTTGAAACGATGGACTTCACACACATGTCGGGCGATGTACTGGAAAATCTCAACGCTCTCTTGGACTGGCCTGTACTCGAGGTTGTGGTGTACAACGACTGTTCGATCCCAAGGCCCGCTGAGCTGTTCCGCGCTTCTCATTATGGTGAGATTATGTACATGCAGACGGAGCAGGATGTTCTCAATGTCCTGCGAGATTGGGACGACGAGAATTGCACGCGTCTTCACATCACCAACAGTGCATTCACGGAGAATATTATCAATGCCCTGTCCGAGCCACAGCCCGATGGCAGCTGGATGTGCCCGTACTTGACCGACCTAAACCTTTCCGGCTTCTGCCAGGGCTTCTCGAACTGTGAACCGGCGCAAGTCGCGTTCGTTTACATGGTCAAGATCCGTCATGCGATGCACGCCAATATCGAATCTGCCGATTCAGAACACGCGGACTTTGCTGTTTCGTCTCTCGAGGAGATCAAGGTGAATGTTGAAGGGAATGGCCAAGAGGTCAGCACGGAGGCTTTGGAATGGCTTGATGCCAATGTCCCTGTCGTGACATGGGGTGATTGGTCCGGGGGAACGCAACAGTTCTCCGATTCTGCCTCCAGCTCTGAGGATGCGGAAGACCCAAGTGAAGAATGAACTCGGTCAATGTGTTACGTGTGATCCTGGTAAGCATGCTCTCTCCGCCGGGGTCACACCCCTAAGCTGATTTCATAAACCCATATTGCTAGTTAGTTTCGTTTCCAGACCTTATAGGCGGATCACGTGTGCTATTACCCCATTGGGTGGCGGAGATCTAAAAACCCCTGCACACTCTCGCCTATAAGGTCTGGTGAAATTTGCAGGGAGGGAAGGGGGTATCCATCACGCGTCACCGAAGTCACTAGTGACAACGCCGTTACCTCTCGCGTCTGCTCACGTACGTGACTGCGTCCAACGCGCCTCGCGCCTCGCGCCGCGCACCTCAAAACTCAGTCGCTGGTCGATGTATGCGCATGTATGCTACGGTAGCCAACCTACATAATCATGATGTTGTCTATTCCAACTACTCATCCGAGTCCTTGGCTGAGCTCGCTACGCAGTGTCGTTGACGACTCTGACTCCGACCCGCCAGCTTCGGATTTGGGCAGCGATATCCTTGACGACCACTCGGGGCTTCTGTCTCTGCAGACGAGTACTGGTGCGTTTTTGCTGCTTCCTCACGGGGTTTCTTGAGGATGGATGCCGAGAGCGTCGAAAGACCATACGAGAACTCGGCAAGAGTGAATATAGCGGAAGCCATACTACACGACGTACATAGATGAGACTTACGGAATGCGTCGCAGGCAAGATGCGCCGCAGGCACGTCAAGCGCCGGGGCGTGACGGATACCCCCCTCCCTCCCTGCAAAACTCACCAGACGTTAAGGGGGGGAGTCGTGCAGGGTTTTTTGGAACTCCGCGTCCAAATACAGTGATATTCCACGTGATCCCTTCCCCCCTTAACGTCTGGTTACGAGACTAATTGCTAGTAGCAGCACACCATGCGGTAGCCCTTCCAAAACTCCATGTACTAAATCGGATGCGCCTGCGGGTGAGTGAGTTTGAAATGAATAGATAAACCTGGGTACATTGGGGGGATTATAAATGTACATACTAACGAGACAATCACGACCGCTTCACCGGCATTGGTGAGAAAATCACTCGATACACCGTGGTCTGTAAAGGGTACAGATGCAGAGCGCACCGCCAAGAGAAAGAGCAGAGTAAAGAAAGACGAGAATGCTGACACATGGGGCCGCATAGTTCCATATACTTGACGAGTCGAGCGTGTCATTCATGTAACACGCGCAACATATCACCAGCCCTGCACATTGTGTTTAGGCATTCACGCCGCTCGTCGACGCACTCGCGCTCGCCGGGGCATCAATACCCATCTTCTTGCGCACCAGCTCAAATGTCTTGAGCATCTTCCTGCGCGCCCCCAGCGCCGCGACGCCGTTCGCCTCCAGTGCTGCCTCGTCCATCGCCACCATGTCACGCCAGTGCATCCCTTCGAAGTTCGGCGTATACTTGTGTAGCCTTAAGCTCCGCAGCCACCCGGGCACGTCATCCAGCAGCTTCGGGTCTACCTCCTCCTCATCCTTTTTCGAGTCACGCACACTAGGGGACTTGACCGAGCGCGCGCTGCCCAGGCCGCGTCCGCTGCGCGCGCCAGGCGAGGCCTGCGGGTGCATTCCCATGCCGAAGCCGAGCTGGCCGGCGGCGGCGGCCATCTGCATTGCGAGCAGTTGCTGCTGCTCGGGGGACATACCCATCGCGGCGAGCTGTTGCATGTTGAAGACGTTGCCGAATGGGCTGATCGGCATACCCGCAAACGGAGCCATCCCGAGGCCACCTGCGCCCGACATGCCCATACCCAACCCGGGGCTACCCATTCCTAATCCAAATCCTGCCATCCCCAGACCGTTGAGATTCGCCTCGTCATTGATCCTGCCTTGAGAGAGCCCCGGGCTCCGTATGTTGTTGAATCCTTGTCCTCCGAACGCGTGACCATTGCCAGGCCCGCTGGCGTTCCTCATGCTGCCAGAGACGTTGCGCTGCCCGTGCTGCTGCGGTCCATGGTTCCCATCGTCGCCGTACACGCTATCACTCCCATTCGTGTTGCTAGGGCCAGTACTGCCTCTCGATAGGCGGTTGAGTTTCTTCGGCGGGTCGGAAATTAAAGGCACGCCTCCTCCATTCGTCGTCCAATCAGTTAGCTTAGCAGCAGCGGCATCGAGGCTCTGGGCGGGATCGCGGGTATTCTTGAACATCGGCATGAGGGGAGTATTGACCATGCTCGCCCAGCTGTCTCCAACCATGGGAGACAGACCGTCGTCCAGCTTCGGTGACTTGAATGCATTAGCCACACCGGAGAAGTCGGTGCTTTTCGGGCGAGAAGCGGTGTTGGGAGCTGGTAGAGTAACTTCCTGCGCAGGAGAAGAAGGACGCTCATCGACTTGTCCCAAATGGTTTGAACCCGATCCCCACGTGCGGCTGTCTACGCCAGTCCCCAAAGCAGGGGCACTGATACGGTGAGCAGCATTGCTTGCCGCCTTCAGCTTAGCACGCTGCTGAGCAAGAGTAGCCGCAGGGTCGTTCCCTCCGGCAGAGGGTAAGTTCGCCGTGTCAGGAGATAGGTAACCGTTCGCGCTGGTTTCGAGATTGAGAGAAGGTCGATTGGCCGAGAAATTGCGCGCTGTCGGCGATGCTGGCAGGCCAGACTTGAGCCCAGGGGACTTCAAGTTCATACTGGCAAGCTTCGCTTCCATTTGGCTCTGCATGGAGCCTGATGACGTTCATCAGATGATATCGAATCCAGAAGCCGCATGTGACTTACTGCCAACAGCAGGGCTCAAGAGAGCCGTCATCGGGTCCGACCTTGACATTTGCTGCAGAACGGTTATAAAGAACCTGATCTGAACTTGAGTAGAATGTTGCAAAAGACTGTAAAGAGCGGCTGTGCGCTCGGCTTCCGACAAGACCTTGAACCCTGCATAGGTAATACAGTCAAACCTTATCAATCAAACAAGCCCATGATACTAACATTGCTCGATGGCACTCAATTCTTCCTTAAAGTTGACGTCCAAAGAGGCAGCAGCCATTTCTTCCTGTAAATCGAAAGTTAGTCACTGAATGATACAACTGATGGTCGTCATACCAGCGTCGCTTCATAATTCTGGAAAGTTTCGAACCATTTGTCGATTTGATCCGCTGTATTAGCATGTTAGGGGCAGTGCGTGCAATATTAAAGACCGAGCTAACCTTCGGGGGTCTGCAAGAAAGTAGCGCTACCCAGGAGCTCACTAGTAGGTCTAGCACCCGAAATCCCTCCAGGGCGAGGGGATGCTGACAGACCCGGCGAATTCACCGACGGACGGGCAGATGGGCCCATCGAGGCGCGGAAGTTGGGAGACCTGCCTCCAGCAGGACCAGGAGAAGGACTGGGGCTCGGAGGGTGAAGAGTAGCCATGTCTGGTGGTATGGAGGCTGTTGAGAAAGCTAGTGAAAGGATAAAGCGACGTCGAGTCGGTGTTGGCGGCTAGAATCAAGCAGCACGTTCCTATGGGCGTGCGACGTTGCGTCTAGACAAGACCAGCGGAGCCTGCCGGTCTAGGGAATGACAAAGTCGACGAAAACGACTCGGTGGACGACGAGGAGACGGTGGAAGTTGAGGACAAGATGGAGAAGAGAGGCGCGGTCCGCCAGTTCACTCATCAGAGGCTCTGCCGCCACTGGTCAACACGTACAAACAACATGTGGCTGGGCAAATATGCCACTGACTGTTCGACATCTTGTCCTGCATTTCCCAACTGTCGTTTGTTTGATCATCATATAACTGACATGCGACAGTTTCAGCCGAACATGTAGTTAGGCAGAGGTTCCAGAATGGCAAACAGGGGCCAGCCACAAGTACATCTAAGGAGCTTTAAAGGATCCAAACATGTACGATTAAGTGGTGAGCTAAATCTACATGGCTCGACTCCGTATCCTGGGGAAGAGCAAGTATAACAAGTAACAAGGACATGATGATAAAGTAAAATCACGGATGAAAGGCGTACCGCCCCATCGCCGTGGTAAGGAGCGTGTTGCCCGAGTCTGCGACTGTCGGCCGAAGGATGAAGTCGTGAGGATCATACAAGAACAAGCCATCATAAGCACAAGGGCGAATTAATCGTGAAAGCCGCTTCTTCACGCGGGGTCGGCCAAGACGAGCTTGCGCACCTCGCCGGTACGGCGTTCGATGGTAGCGTACTGCTCCACCGCCTTCCCCGCCTTGCGTTTCATTTCCTCCGCGCCCTGTACCTCGCGGCTCTTCACGTCCATAGCGGCGCGGAAGAGTTCCTTGACGTCCCACGACGCGAGTCGCAGGACTTTGCGTGTCTCCCGACTAACTCGCAGCGCGTGGGCGCCCACGAATGTACTTTCCTCGCCCTTCTCGCCATCCTGGACCAGCGACGCTTTGATGCGGCGGCCAACGGTGCGTGGGATGGTGCTAGGGAGCTCGAGGACGAAGTAGACACCCAATCCGATTGTAGCAGCACCTAGCACAGGAGCCGCCCACTTGCGTGCAGTCTCATTCTCCCACAGATCGCAAAGGCGAATGACACCCTCGACGAGGCCGCGCGCACCGAGTACTTTGCCGCCCACCATTGTAAGCGCCCCGACACCTACGGACGCAACGCCGAGCGCAGTGACCGCTTGCTCTCCCTCGACCTTCTCCAATTTGCCGTCACCGAACTGCACCCAGAAGTAGTTGTGCACGTCGAAAATGTCAAGGAATGTCGCCTCGAGCATATCCGAGCGCTGTGCAAGGCCGATACCCAGCCCGTACGTGCCACCGGCGACGATAGCACCACTGGACATCCGCCGGGTCTTCCTTCGCCCAGTCTTGTCAGGGCGGAACATAGCCTCGGGCATGAACACTCGTCGCTTGCGCTCAACGCCTTCAGGAAGGTGTTCGTCGGCAAGCGCTCCAATGCGGTTCACACCGTCGACAGTCGTGAGGCGCGCCTCATCCTCCGCCACCTTGACAGCTACGTCGAGGCTAGTAAGCAGAACACGTCTAACGTCCTTCACGTAGTCCCAAATGCCGAGAAGACCCGGGTAGGAAGGCATACTTAGCGAGAGCTGGTCAACGCCTAGTTGGCCTTGTCCCACGCGCTCGAGGGCATCAGTGAGGAACTCCTTGGTGCGCTTAAGCGTGGTCGCCACTCCCTCTTCTTCCACCATCTCGAGGCCATCTTCAAGCTTCTCTCGTCCATTCTTCATCTTGTCCAAAACGGGACCTGCCCGATTGAGGTCTTCCCGTGCCCGTTCAAGCTCTGTCTCGGCAACGATCGCATTCGCCCCGACGAGGAGATCCACGTCGGACAGAATATGGTGTAGGTAGGTGGACGCAGGCGCCAGCTTGGACTTAGAGCGCTTGACGAGCACGAACGAACGGAGAGACGACTCGAGGTTGTCGAAGGCGGGCGTGCCGTTCTCTGCCGCTGCATGCGAGTCGACAAAGTGAACCAAGTCCTCGGCATCTTTGTACGTCGCAGGGCTGAGCTGTTTGATTTGCTCCAACACGAGCCGACGGCACTTGGCCTTGTCACGGATTTGCTCGTACTTGTTCACCACGATGAATATGTACGCCTTCTCCTTGCTAGCAGTCGTCAGGAACTCCTTCGCGGAGAGTGTGAAGTGGTTTTCCGCAGACACGACGAAGACCACAACATCGATCTCTTCTTGACGGGCAAACACGGCCGTGGTATTCACGAGATCACGATTCAGGCCGGGTGCATCAATGAGGGAGATGTTAACGATGCCGTTGCTAAGGAGAGAGCTGGCAGGGTCTCGAGTATCAGAGAGGTAGATCTTCAATATCTGGTGCTCGTCCTCGTTCTCCGATATTATCGTCTCGAGGTCGGAGAGGCTCGCACGAGTGAACGTCGACTCGTCGTCAATAGAATATGACACGCCCTGCTTGAGAACGTGCACCTCCTCCTTTCCGCCGTTCTCCGCCACTGAATCGTGGACCTCGCAAAAGGCAGTCGTGCACGGTTGCTGGTCGATCGGCATTATCTCCCGACGTAGCAGCGCGTTCACAAATGTCGACTTGCCCGCATTCAGGTCGCCCGTGACAAGAACCTTCGAAGAGGTGTCTTCGACACGCAGACGCAGCCTGTCCATGTGGTTGACTGCGGTGCTGATCCGCTCGTCCAAAAGGTTTGCAATCGACGACTTCTCTAGCTGCGACACGAGGGTGGCAGGCGAGCTGGAGGAACCATGTGCACCGAGCTTGAGATCGAGCCGGAAGACATGGAAGTCGGCGGAGTCGGCAGCATGGTCGTCCTCGTCCTCAGCTGTCTCAGGCTCCGCCTCTGCGTCAGCGATAGACGCTAGAGTGACCGAGCGTGCCGTGCCCGCGCCAGTGGTGTTTATGACGACGTCGGCCTGGAAGTTGGGGTCGTCGGGGAAGGATAGCGAGCGCCGCATGCCCTTGCAGCTCTTGCGCCGCGAAGGCTCTCCTTCATGCGGTTGCTCCTGCAACTGGGGATAGCGAACGACCCATGAGTTCTTGCTGAAGTCCCTGAGGTCGCCCAGAATGGATTTTGTCGAATCAATAGCATTGAGCAGTCTGAAGTATGTGAGCTCGTGTCTTTGAGAAAGTATTTTGTTGCTACTCACCTATCTTTCTGCTCAATATATGCCTCCTGGACATCTCCGGGATTGCGAGATTTGACTGCCTGTGCAGACGCAGCAATATACGACATGGCCGTAACAGGCGTACTTCCGGAGAAGTCAATCCTTTGTTGGTGTAGTTGTCGTCGTCGTCGTCAACGATGAAGAAGTAATATGACAAATCCAAGAGCGTATGAGAATCGCATTTGCGGAGCGGAGTTGTCGATAAGACCTTATACTGGTATCGGGCCGGCGTCGGAGTAATGACAACCCTGTGGAGATTGATGGAAATGTCTCCGGTTTGTGCCGGTGTTGGTTGACTACGCAAGAACGCCATTATTTATATAGCGATTGGCCTCATTAGGATTTGAACACGACTGTCATTCACCGGTAAGCTCCATGCTCCTAAAACCCCACACACGAGAGGTGAACTTAATGTTATATATGAAAATGACATCACGTAATCCTCATATGGAAGGACAGAATAAGTAGCCGAATAAGATGACAGGATTAGCGCACGAGTCATCGCCAGGCGTTTCGCGCGACGAAGTATGTACATAATTCTGTGACTGGCTCTCGCCGCATGATCACCAGCACTCCCTGTTATGAAGGGTATGAAGTCAGCTTGGTTATTCGGTCTCGATGAAGAGAATACGCGTACTATGACCCCCACGAATACGTTGGTCGAGTTTATTCCTCACCCTCATTTTCTGCTCTCAGTCGAATTCCTCCGGACCAATCACCCCATGTCACAGAGTGAACGTTGGCATCGAGCCACTCCAGCGCCTCCGTGCTGACTTTTTGGACATTCCCTTGAATGTTCACCCTGACCCCATAGAGAGACGAAGCTGCAAATGAACTGACATATCCGGTACTGGCCTCCAGCGCATGGCGGATCTTGATCATGCGAATGAACGCGACTTGCGCCGGTTCACAGTCCGAGAAACCCCGGCAGAAGCCAGAAATGCTGAGACTGTATAAGTACGGGCACATCCAGCTGCCATCGGGCTGTGGCTCGGACAGGGCGTGGATGATATTCTCCGTGAATACACTGTTGGTGATGTGAAGACGCGTGCAATTCTCGTCGTCCCAATCTCGCAGGACATTGAGAACATCCTGCTCAGTCTGCATGCACTTGATCGCACCATATCGAGAGGCGCGGAACAGCTCAGCGGGCCTTGGGATCGAGCAGTCGTTGTACACCACAACGTCGAGTACAGGCCAGTCCAAGAGAGCGTTGAGATTTTCCAGTACATCGCCCGACATGTGTCTGAAGTCCATCAGTTCAAGCTTGAGTGCGTAGTCGTCATCGGGAAGCTCGTCGTCAAGGATTCTAAGGTTGACATTATCCAAACGCAGTATAAGGAGTGCAGGCATCTTGCGAATGCACCTAACGAGGTCGGTCGTTCTCCAAGGAGGGTAGTATCGCGGGTACTCTTCAATGGCGAGCTCGTCGAGATTGGGGAATGTGGTATCTGACATTTGGCGTAGAAAGAGACCGTTAGTCTCCATCAGCTCGAGAATAGGGACATCCATGATCCCGGTCGTCGGAGCGAAACGTTCATCTGGACCTTCGTCAAGTACGCAGTGTATGAATAGATACTTCAGGCTCGGGAAGGCACCACTCAGATCGAGGTATGGCTGCGGGAGCGACGTACTGTGCATAACGTAAATGTAAAGTCTTTCCCAACGATCCTGGTGCGGAGTCAGGAGGTCCATGACAGCAGCCATCCGCCACTTCTCCACAGGATCGGCCAGCCTTGCACGATATTCCGGATCTTCAAAGATGCGCGCTCTTATGAGATCATGACTGTCGAACCACATCTCATGTCGACAAATGGTGATGTCCAGCGGCCGCTCCTTTGACAAGGCGAGGTATCGGCGAATGACAGACTGTGGTGTGGGGTTATCGTCGACGGTGATGAGCATGACGGTCCAGAATATGGACACCGAGAACATGACTGCTCTCCACTGCGAGCAGACAGACGCAACTGACTCTGGAAACTGCCATCCTTTTCGTATCGACCGTGTACCAGTGGAGTCGAATATCTCGTGAAATATCAGCACGAGCACTTCGTTTGGCACATCGGAGATGGATGTACGGTGTGGCCGAAAGGGCGCAAGCATCGCATGAGGTAGCGTGTTCGAAACATCGATTTTCACATTGACTGGCTCGTTTGCCATGACTTGATGAGACGCATCAGGACGGGGATCAGGATAGTTTAACGGAAGATCAAGCCGGACGTACTATTTGGACGCGGATTTATAATCGACAGGATTCGGAGCGCTATCGATGTATTGAGCGAACCTCTGCGGTGGTGGCGTGGGCTCGATGAGATGGGTGATGCTTGCTGAGGGATGGAGGGGAACCCGAGTCCTGATAAGCAATTTGTGCAAGCGTTGTGGGACAGCTTATGTTCTGCAAATACTTGACTCGGGGTAAACCACGAGGTGAGTGCAATGGTAAAAGATCCGAATCACCGACTCCCCTCAGACAAGTTACCTTGTATTTATCCATACTGTGTTGTTCTTGACATCTCAACCGGCCAGTGACCGGCACAGTATCTACAACCGCTGCGCGGCCTGCGCTTGTCTACCGTAGGCAGACATCGAACTATTACCAGTGGATGGTCCCCCCTCTTGATGGCCAGGTGACACTTTGTCACATCAATGTGACGATGCTGGTTCAGAGGTCCGCTCGGCTCACAGGGCCGGGGACTGAACGTTTGCTCAGTGGCGTGTGGCTCCACGGTGATCGGCAGGTCCATTTTGTAACTCCGCTCGCGTCCGCCGTGGCCATCGTGCTCTCGGGCGTGACATCGCCATCAAACCCCTCGAAAGAAGGGACTCTTCAACGGCTCATCCGTTCGCTCTGATTCCAGTTGGAGGTGGAAGCAGGCATACGAAAACGTAGGTGTCCATATAATTTCGAGGGTAGGGGAGTGCCCGGTTGTTGCCCATCACAAACCTGGCTATCCAGAGGACCAGAGGGGGGGAGGGGGGGGGCATTCACTGGTAAAACATAGTATCCTCTTCAATGAGAGGGAGGACGGACATAACGAAGGAACAGCCGGGTCTATTTCGAAGCAGCGCCATCCGATCGGACCGTAAGACAACATACCAGACCTGTACACGCTTATGGGTTCAAACGTTCATGGCTTGAGGTATGATATATTACAAGGCCATGGTGCAAGGACAAGGCTTTGAGTGACTCCGACGCTTGACACCTACCTCCATGGTCGGATGAGAGACACTTGAGACATTCACTATTGCAAATCAGGGCCAGTGTGTATGTAGAGCCTCGTTGTATTCACGTCAGAGTGCGAACAAGACAGATTCGCCAAGGAAGTCAACATTCCACGTTCAGTATAATGGGGCATTGTTATTCTGCATGTGCACTGGGCGACACGATACAGGGGCGTCGCGATGCACGAGCATCCTCTCATTCAATATATGATGAATGAAACTACACGTTAGGGATGGCGCGACTTCTGCAAGTAGTCTCTTTCGCATTTCGTAGCCTGGTATATCGCGCAGGCCGGTCCGTGTTCTCGTGGAGATAAATACTGGCGTTATCGTACAAAATGGAGGCGAAGGCTGCCTCATACCGCAACAAGTTATACGACGAAACTTCATTACTGGCATGTCCTGGGAGGAGATCGGCCATCGACAGACCTAACAAAGAGTGAGACTTTCGGGCCCTCCGTCCAATGTAAAGCAAGCACATAGAAGTGTCAACTTTAGACGTACCTCCAATCTAGCCTCCGTTCGCAGAGTCTTTGACAGCCTTCATAATATCTGCAGTAGTCGCGACAGCTCCAAAGATACCGCCCTCGTGTTGGACCATCTCTACAGCAGCACGATGCAGACCGTCCGTACCAGCACCGCTTGCATCTTCGACCAGTAAGCAATCATAGCCGCGGTCGTTCGCCTCGCGCATCGTCGAGTGCACGCACACGTCCGTCGTGACGCCACATATCACGAGATTCCGCACGCCGCGTATCCGCAGCAGCAAATCGAGGTCGGTGTGCGCGAAGGCGGAGCGCCCGGGCTTGTCGATGACAGGCTCGCCTTCGAGTGGGTACAGCTCGTCGACGATATCGTGTCCGTGCTCGCCTCGAACGAGCATGCGTCCCAGGGGGCCTTGGTCGCCTATACCGAGTCCGCTGGAGTTGTTCCGCGAACGGAAGTGCTCGCGTGAAGAAAGTGTGGAGAGGTCTGGGCGGTGTCCTTCGCGTGTGTGATAAATGGGGAACTGCCGTTCACGAAATACTTCTAGCAACTGAGCGATCTTTGGGATCACAGTACGGGTGTGTTGTACAGATCCGCCTTGATATACCAGATAGCCCTGCTCATGGCAGACTGATTTATGGCGTGAAGCGGCGGCTTAGCAATTGATCACGTATAGTGGTAGGATTCATGGTACTGACAATCATTCTGCATATCGATGATCACCAAGGCCGTCGACGAGCGTGAAAAGGAGCCATCTTGAGGCCATAAATATGGTTTTGCGGGAACTGTGGGCATGTTAATCGAGTTCCAATATCCAATATCCAATGCCTGAGGTGGGTAGTCAAGCTCAAGAACGGATGCGCGATGATTCCTGGTCCATGCGAACAGCACGTGATCCTGCAGCTCCCCCTGCGTGTCTGCCGCTTTCTCCCAACTCCACGTACACGACGTTCCACACAAGGGCAGTACGCCTCGTGCCACCATATCAAGACACTCGTGGAAGGCTGTAACTCAGGCACCGTTCACAAATGAGATTCTTCTGATCTGCATGATCCGCATGATCCGCATGGCGAGAGACATCCCCAGTGACCTAACAAAGTTACATCTTTTTCAGGGAGAGTGCTTTGACAGTTAAGCAGCCACGACCTATCGTATAAGATAGATGCAGCGTTCTGATGCAACGTCATAGAACAGGAAGTCTTATTTCCTGCTGTAGCTATACAAGGTTGTTTACACGTGTGTTAATCTGGACCCGAAGATGAGCATATTAGTTGACCTAACGATCACAATCCAGATCTCACCTACTACCCAAGTGTGCGTATGTCTAGTACACCGAGGGCATGCTTAACATTCGTCCACCGTCGATGAGGTGCACGCATCCATCGACGTAAGCTCCAGCCTGTGCGCATGCGTTGTTAATCCCCCACCGAAGAATTTGTAGAAAGATGCTCTCACTTTGCTGGCAAGGTAGATTACGAGGCCCCCCATATCATCGGTGCTCCCAGCCCTCTGCAGCGGTATTGTTGACTTGACCATCTGTTCTGACAACAGGTCGCCTGTCATTTCTACACTTTTCTTTAGTCTCGTGCCAGCAATACACAACGGTAAGTGAAGGGGGCCGCACCAGACGGGAACAGACCCGGAGCGATGACGTTGCTCCTGATCTGCCAGTCCTTCAAGTAGTGCGCCATCATCTTACCCAGGTGCGTCACCGCCGCCTTGCTGAGCGTGTACCCGAGACTGAACACGCCTGAATCCTTGCGGACTGACGCGATGCTCGAGACTGAGATCACCTGGCTTGTGACGCCGTGAGCCTTGCTCCGAGTGTTTCCCGCATGAAGCAGCTCGAGGAACGCGACGGTACAGAACCAAACGCCCGACACATTCACGTGGAATGTCTGCCCGAACGTGTCAAAGCTCTCAGCACCCCAGAGTGCCTCTTGCAGGCGTGTGATGTCACCGCCGGCTTCAGCGGGTGTCGGCAGCTTGGGCTGCTTGCCAATCATCACACCCGCGTTGTTGACGAGCAAATTGATGTATCCGTGACGCGCTTTCACCTGCCCTGCGAGAGCTTCCAATGATGCACGGTCTGTAATGTCGCTTTTCAGCGCGATCATGTTGCCGTGCTTCTGCAGATTTCATGTAAGATCGCGGTGCGAGTCACCGAAGGAAGAACGGAATACGCACACTGCGCTCCTTGACGGCTTTGTCAAGAGCTTCCTGCCGCCGACCGACAATGTAGACGATCGCCCCGTTGTTCTCCAGCGCAGTTGCGATCATGAGGCCGATCCCTTGAATGCGTCAGTACATAGCCACCGGCTGGCTGCATTGGCTGCGACATACCAGTAGCACCTCCCGTCACCACTGCAACAAGGCCCTCGACGCTGAAGAGCGTTGCGTAATCCGAGATGAATTGCGAGGCCATCTTGATATAAAGCCTGTGCTATTGTACTGGCTGTTGAGGGAGAGAACAGCGTGTGCACAATGCCGGCCGGGCAGTTTAATAGGTATCTCGGATAAGGCTGCGACGCGATTATGATGCTGACTGTACAGGAGTCTTCAATCTGGCTGACTGTACACGCTAAGGTAGGGAAAAGCGCCGGTGCCAGAAGGTCAGACATAGATATCTGGCAGAGCCGGCGCACGTTGAAACAACGGTCTACGCTACTCTCGGGAAACCAGCCAGAAGGTCAGACATAGATCTCCTCATCCGTGCAGGTTGAGAGGGTCCTCGGCCATCTCTGAGGTGCCACATGAAGTATTCTCGAGCGATTACGGTGAAACGTGGATACGACGCAAAGTCAAACAAGTTCGCATATGCAGGCAGGACACTCGGCTTTGCCGTGGCGGAGGCACAGAATTTGTCACGAATAGATCAATGACGGCATTACTGACAGACGATCGAGGTAAAATTTGATCTCACAACAAGAGCGGCTTTTTATCTTTAAGACTCCGCTCTAGCCGCGCTGAGGAAAAGTCCTACCGATAGAATGTGCTCTGAGGTGTATCATGATAATTATACGGTATTCAACAGAGACAACCGCATCAGACGCGGCGTTACAACCAATAAGCAATAGTGCCTCAAGACGAGAGCCATCCTCGCAGGAAAGTGTTTGAAGAGCATTGAACCTATCACTCGTTGCACGTTAACGAAGGTGGCTTGAGCGGACAGACAGTCCCAGAAGCAATAACCCGAAACGGTGATGTAGGTCATGTTGATATACACCTAGACACCCGCAGACAGCCCGTACTGGTGCAGTATGATATCCGCACTCTCATCAAGGGCTTTCTGTTAGGCGAAGAACGGCCACGCTTTCCCGCGAGGATATATAGCGCTCTGCTTGAGTTGAACGGGTATATGGGGGTTCGACTAGGATTCCAATATGCTATCCGGCGTGCCGCAGTTGTCCGAGTCGTCGGGTGTGCGGAAGGCTTACACACCCGCATCTTCACTCATGCTAAAGCCGCAGTTCCTTGACACTTTGTCGCCCGTTGAGCGCAAGGCATGCATCGCCGTGGAGTTGGTGAGTGAATTAGGTTGCTGTTCGGTGGGGAGGACGGCGCTGTGCGAGAGAAAGAAATTGAGTGGCTGGTCAGACGAAGGGCCAAGGAGCTGTTGGCAATGAAGGTGATACCGCCGCTGGGTTGTCGGTGACGGACTCGATTTCGCTCATCAACGATTGGCGGTCCCACATTTGAGGCATGTAGCCTACCAGGGGATGTACGAACACATTGTGATGCTAAGCAAGTCAAACCAATAACGGTAGAATATGACTGTAATCGATGAGCGATCCACTGCTATCCATACAGCGAGTCGTGTGCGAGGATGGATCAATCGTCGTCTCGCAACATACATATGAACCTTAACACGATACGTACGCTGAGGAATCCACTGCACCAAGTCGCGTCGTCAGTATGGTGCAGATTAGACTGAAAGAGTCGCTATGATCATGACGCACCACTTCCGATTATGCGTAGGTCTCCCTGTCAGGTCCCTCAACCGAAGACTTGGACTTGAAGTACTCCCCGTTACCCCCTGACCAATCACCCCAACGTACGGAAACGAGATTGGCGTCGAGCCATTCAAAATCATCTGCCTCAAGATAACACCGGAAACGTCCTTTGTCGTCCACCGTGAGCCGTGTCAAAGACGAGACGACATGGTCAGGATGTCCCTGTGGTGGAAGTTGTGTGCTGTTATTGAAGGCGTAGCGAGCTTTGATCATGTTCACAAGGGCTCGTTGCGCCGATTCGCTGTTGGAAAGTCCATAGCAAAAACCTGAGAGAACGAGCTCGGTCAAGTTCGGGCATGCCCAGCTACCGTCAGGTAGAGGCCCGGTCAGGTATTCGACGATGTCCACCGAGAATGGGCTGCTCTCGATGTGGAGTGTGGAACACTGTGGGCCATTCCAGTCCTTCAAGAAGTTAAAGATATCTCTTTGTGGAACGATGTTCCTATGGTTCAGCATGTTCGTCAGAAGGCATGATCCTGATGTATGGAACAGCTTGAACCGTCGCGGGAAGGTGCAACCGTAGTAATGAGCACGGGTGACTGTGGGCCGGCCTAAACATGAACTGATCGCCTCTATATCCTTGCCGTTCATGTATGTAAATTCCACTTCTTCGATCTGTGGAGGACTTCCGAGGTCGGGTGGGGGGAGCTCATCGCCAGATGAAGCCAATTCGACGCTGTCGCAACGAAGCGTGCGTAGCAACGGGAGTTTAGGCAGCAGCTTAACGAAATCGACCAGTGAGAATGTATATTTTCCGTTGTGAAAGCTCGCATCAATGATGATCTCATTGAGTTTGGGGAGCATTGGAGTTCCACGTTCAAGTATTTGGCACAAGGCCCCCCCATAAATGTCCATCGACTCCAAAATGGGTGCCTCTAGAGTCCCGGTGGTCGGAGTGACATTTTCGACTTGACCCCGACTGTAGTAGCATTTAAAGACTAGATGCCTGAGATGTGGCAAGGTGCCATAGAAATCGATGTGAGGTCGCGGAAGGGATGTGCTGAACACGACATCGACGTAAAGTCTGTGCCAGCGCCCCTGGTGCGGGGTGAGGAGGGCCATGGCAGCAGCGACCCGAGCCTTCTCGTGCACGTGCAACATAGAAAGTTTAGTGGCCTGCAATGAATACACTTGCTCAATGGGAATGCCCCGGTGCCACTCCGCTTTATCATGAGTACAGATGTTGATATCAAGGGGTCTATCCTTTGACAGTTCGAGATATCGACTGACAACTGACAGTGGCGTGGGCTTGTCTGAATCGGGGTCGGTAGCGATGAGCAAAACGCTCCAAAACTCCGACACGGAGAACATCACTGCCCTCCATTGCGCACAAACAGAGGCAACTGACTCTGGGAAATGTATCCCCGTCTTGGGCTTGCGTTGACCTGTGCAATTGAAGACTTGACGGAAGATCGGTACGAGAACGTCGTCCGGGATGTCAGCCATGGATATCCGTCGAAGACGAGGGTTTGGATTGGGAGAGTGGGTAATCTGATGGGGCGCAACAGTCTCGTTCGGAGAGTCTCCATATTGATTCAGCATGACTGAAATCGTACGTGCTGAATTACTACTACGACGAGCAGAAAGCAAGAGGTCGCACGTACCTGCTGAGCGACTGGTCAAGGGTGAGTCCAACGAACTTGCTCACTGCGTCTAAGGGTCGTTGACGGTGCGAAAGTCAAAGGTGCTAGCAAGGGAATCAAGCGATGAGTAGCCTATAAGACGTGTAAGGATGGAGCAAAGTAGTCGACGGGACAATGACCGTAATGCGTGGTGCAAAGCACAGTACCGACGTCGTATGGACTTTCGACAATCTTCACGATATTCAAAATATTTCAAAGCCCGAAATACCTAACATCATCGGAAACAGCCGTATCTTCAAATTCCCGCGTGCAATGACCTTCCGCATTCACTATGGACAGCGATTTACAGCAAAACCAATATTGATAAACCTCCCTCGCAAAAAGTACAGATAGGCGGCATGGAGCATAGCGGCGCTCGGCGCCTCGGGGATGACGTGCCCTCATCCCTTAGTGTTGTTCACGGCAGCCATATTTAGTATGTAATCTACGCCTATGTTTCGATATTCGTCTAATTGTCGAGGTCTACATCGTCGCTCTCTACTTCTGCAAACAAAGGTGGAAGACAACGATGAACTCTGCGATACCAGTAGCTTCCTTCATCTAACCATTAGTCGTGGAGTCAAACATGTCTTATACACCGGAATTCCTTCTGAGGAGGGATTTATCGTCCATTACTGACAATGACGGCGAGAGGACATCGGACGAGGGGATTACAGCGAGCTTCCACCTCACGATTCTCCGTAGCCTATCGGCCGCTCGTCGACGTCTCTGCACCACTGCCGACTCCTGCCGCGAGCTTCTGCCCCACTTTGCCGAAGTGTATACTTCACGAGAGAAGGTCTATCAATATTGGTTTTGCTGTATGAGTGCACACTATATAAACTCGAGCTTTAGTGCTCAGCCTTAATGCTAAATCACAGAAAAGAGAGCGGTGTTGGGCCATCCAAGATCTCCTTTGGCGGTCTCCTTGGCACATCCTTCAGGGTCCACAGTGAGCCTTACGGTCGTGAGTCGTGTGCTGTTATCCAAAGGCGTAGCGAGATTTAATCATGTCCACAAGGGACTGATGGTTGGAGAATCCCTCACAGCAACCTGAAAGAATGAGCTCGGTCAAGTTCGGACATACCCAAGGCTCTGATGGGGTATTGGATGGAACATCAGATGCTCCACTTTGCACATCGCCGAGTTGATCACTCTGGTACAAGCTACACACATACTTACCTTAAGAACACACCATTTCCCCATGCGTGGACTGTTCGTTTATTCACCAGCACTCACGGGACTCATGCGCACAGTTTGCTCCATCTCAACCTGCCCCGGTGATATTGTCCCCACTGGCATGTAACGTTACCATGTCCTAAGCCATTTGTGCATGTAAGGGCGAGGAGCGGCATCGTATGGCAACTCGGGCCACATAAGCCTAGACACTCAGTTTGCGAGCGTTCCCTAGGAGTTAAACACATGCGCGTGTGCAGACATCACTGCAGATAAGTAACGCCAAAATACCACAGTAACAGCTGCGACGAAAGCGTGCTGGATCGCGGTCATGTCGTCGAGAACACTGGGGGCTCATTTCATCGCTGGTATGGCGCTAATTCAAAGCGCATCGCAAGGGTGTTTCGATACAGGCCTCACATGGCTGCACGCCATGAGCTGGCGGCCCACAACGCCAGTGCGCTGCGCGCCGGAACCTCCGTCTTCTAGTATACAGACGACATGGAGAGCAACCGCCCGCCATCGATCAAGTGGACGACGCCGTCGACGTAGGCCCCCGCCTGTGCGCCATGATCAGCCGCAGAGACGACGACATCGCAGCGTGGCTACACACCTTGCTAGCGAGGAAAATGACAAGGCCCCCCATGTCGTCGGTGCTCCCGGGGCGCTGCAGGGCGATGGTCCTCTTGACCATGTCCTCCGACACGATCCCGTCCGTCATTTCTGGGCGTACGCTCGTCAGACACCGCCCACGCGCGCCACACCACCGCCACGGCACCAGGGCCAGGCTCGGGCTCGGGACGCACCGGACGGGAATATGCCCGGACATATGACGTTGCTCCGGATCTGCCAGTCCTTCAGGTAATGCGCCATCATCTTCCCCAGGTGCGTCGCCGCGGCCTTGCTCAGCGAATACGCGAGGCTCGACACCGCCGCGTCCTTGCGCAGCGCCGCCAGGCTCGACACCGTGATCACCTGGCTCGTGAGCCCGCGCGCGCGTGTGCGCGCGTTGCCCGCGTGCAGCAGCGCGAGGAACGCGACCGTGCCGAACCACGCGCCGCTCACGTTCACGCGGAACGTCTGCGCGAAGCTCTCGAAGCTCTCCCCGCCCCACAGCGCGGTCTGCAGGCGCGCGATGTCGCCGCCCGCGTCCGCCGGCGAGGGCAGCGGCGGCTGCCGCCCGAGCAGCACGCCCGCGTTGTTCACGAGCAGGTTGACGTACCCGTGCCGCGCGGCGACCTGCGCGGCGAGCGCCTCGAGCGACGCGCGGTCTGTGACGTCGCCCTGCAGCGCGATCAGGTTGCCCCGCGTCTGCGGCGGCGGCGGGTCAGCGTGGTCGGACGGGCGATCGACCGATGGTACGTACGCTGCGCTCCTTCACAGCCTTGTCCAGGGCCTCCTGCCGTCGGCCAACGATGTAGACGATCGCGCCGTTGCTCTCGAGGGCGGTCGCGATCATCAGCCCGATGCCTGGAGTCCGCTGTCCGCTGTCCGCTCAGCGATTACAGGGCCGTACGTACGCACCTGTAGCGCCTCCCGTCACCACGGCCACCAGGCCTTCGACGCTGAAGAGTGTCGCATTGTCCGAGATGTACTGAGAGGCCATTTTGCGCGGCTCTGCAACACACAGTGTGGGGAATAGATAGCTATCGGGGCACCCTAGGCATCTTATATCGACGCGATTGCGAATTGCTGACTGTACAGAGGACCCACAGGGCAGCGTCAACTGAATTCGACTGGCTCTCCGATCCCGTGTCTAGCCATCGAGCTCAGGAATATGGCAGATGCAAGAGATAGTTGTCCGACGGAGAAAATAGCATGACGCCATGGGCGCCGGTATTAGGAACCTGGAAAGGACTCTGCATTGTTTTCACTCAAGGCCTAGTAATAGCTAGTAATAGTGAATAAGCAGGAGTGGGGAGTCGATAAACTCGGGAGGCAGTGTGGATGCAGCGTGAGCACTCCCGGCGGCAAAAAGGGGTGGAGGCGACAGGTGGAAGCAGAGCAGGAGTTAAACTAGAGACCATCCGTCGTGCTGTTATTGCTCGACATGCGCCTCCGTGGCGTAGAGTATAAACTGCGGGATTGACAGAAAGAATAAGCGGGAGTAGTGATCTCGTTCAGAACGATCACCCTGGGGGCCACCCCAATCAGTCGACCGGAACAAGCTGCCCGCAACATACAAATTGGACACTTCATAGGCTAGGGGCCATCGAGCACACTGTTACGAGAAGGCAGAAACACCATATACCATTCGTCATTAGACTCGAGAACTACGATATGCACGATATTATCGACACAGCATCGCGGCCAGCATCGAGCTGCGCGCCGGACACCACCCCACCACCACACAGACCTCCAGTGCGGCTTTTTACTCCTCCGCCTGCTCCTCCTTGCTCTCTGCTTGGACTAGTCAACGTCCCATTCCCTTGTGAACAATCAATGGCGCTCACCGTTCTCTTGCATGTCCGACGTCCAGAGCGTCAGGTTGTCCCGCAATAGCTGCATGATCAGAGTCGAGTCCTTGTAGCTCTCCTCCGACAGCGTGTCCAGCTCCGCGATCGCATCGTCGAACGCCTGCTTTGCCAAGTGACATGCGCGGTCCGGGCTGTTCAGGATTTCGTAGTAGAACACAGAGAAGTTCAGCGCAAGACCCAGGCGGATCGGGTGCGTGGGTGCCAGCTCAGCGACAGCAACGTCCGATGCCGCCTTGTACGCCTCGAGTGCCTTGTCCGCGCTCTCCTTGCGCTTGTCGCCAGTCGCGAATTCGGCAAGGTAACGGTGGTAGTCGCCCTTCCTGGCAATCAGAAAACACCGTCAGCATACCATTCGCAGGCAACATTGAAACGAGCGCAGATGGTGATCTGCAACGCAACCAGCAGCTCAGAATTAAGCCGATCTGCAGCAGAACCCACTGTCTATGCACCACGCCCATGGGACACATGGCGCGACGTGCCTCGGAAAAACCCGATTCGCAGTGCCGAGACGGGACACTCACATCTTGTGGTAGAAGACCTTCGACTCGCCCGACGCGGCCGAGGGAATAAGGTGCTTCTCAAGCACATTCAGGATGTCCTCGCAGATGTTCGCGAGCTCGCTCTCGATCTTCTCGCGGTAGCCCTTGATCATCGTCACCTGCGCCTCGTTGCCTTTGGACTCCTCCTTCTGCTCGATGGAGGACACGATGCGCCACGACGCGCGGCGCGCCCCGATGACGTTCTTGTACGCGACCGACAGCAGGTTGCGCTCCTCGACGGTGAGCTCCTGGTCGGATGACGCGACGCGCTTCATGTTCTCGACCATCTCTGTGCGCACAGCGCGGTCAGCGGCGCGCGGGGGCGCGGAACACGGCGAAAGGGAAAGCGGGCGCACCCTCGTAGCGCTCGGCCTGCTCGGCGAGCTTGGCGAGGTAGACGGAGTCGTCGCGCGATTGGGACATCTGTGGGAAGGGGCGGTGAGCACGCGGGGGCGTTCGGGACGCGTCGTGGCACGCACTGCTTGGATTGTTGGAGGGGAGAAGGCTGTGGGAAGGTGTGGCTTGGAGGTGGTAGCAGGCAAAGATGGAGAGGGGCGGGGGAGCTGGCGCGTCCAGCTATATATAAAGGAAGAGGGTTGGGCTAAGGGTTTGTCCTGTCGTTCAACGCTAGGCGCCCTATCACTCGGCGCTTCCGCCTGTGGCTATGACGCTGCACACCACTCAAATTCGGCCTGCTATGTCTTTCTGCCCAGAGTCTGTTGCAGCGAACACGCACCGGTAGCTGGATATAACCGAAAACGACATCCGTATATTCACTCGGAAAGACGAGGCATATCCAGCATCTCGCTTCCAGTTCTGCTCCCTGCGGGTCCGCGGGATCTACGGCACCCACATAGGCTCTATCAGGTGTATCTTGATCCCCGCATATACACACGGTAGCCGTCTCTGGCACAACCGCATGCAGCGCTGCCCCGCACCCGAACGAAAACCAAAAACGATCCATTGCGTGCACACGTGCGCTGCGGTCTGTAAAATAGTCCTTGATAGTATATGCAGCACAAAATCTATGCAGTGTCTATATGTTTGTATTTTGCGCCTGGCCCGAGCTCACAGCGCGAGGAGCGCCCCACCGACCGCGGCAACCGCGAGCGCTGCCGCCGCCACCACCGAGCGATACGGCGTGGACGGCCGCGCGCCCGATATTACCGTCAGCTCGCCCGTCGCGCCGTACACGCGCACATACTGCACCTCGAAGTACGCATTGTCGTAATTCGACGGCGGGCCGAGCACCCAGTCGTCATAGCACACCCCCGAGCACGTCTCCTGGAAGATGACCGAGTTGCCCGCAAATTCTGGCACATACGCAGACGCAGGGTGAGCACACGCAGACGCAGATGCCAACGGAGCACACACCTCCACACAGCGTGATGTCAAAGACGAGCGCTTGAGGGTCGAAGAACTGGGCCGGCGAGCAGCTGCTGGAGGGCCAGTTGGCCGTCGGCGTGCCGAGGTCGCTCGGGTTCACCGTGCTCGCGTTGCCCGACAGCGCGCTGGGGATGGACGAGCGCTAGTGCCACCCGTCGTCAGCATCGCATCCTAGCACATCAACTGTCAGACGCACGTTGAAGAACCAGACCCTGCCAAACGCCTGTTTGAGCAACCAATCGCCCGTTTTGTGAGGAATGAGACTCACGAGATGCCATCCTCTGCAAACTCGGTCACGAACATCCCTCCTCCGTCTGCCGCGAACCCTGTGCGCACGTCAGTCCGGCGTCACGCGGGGCGCGATCGCGCCCGCACGCACCTTGGCCGTAGGAGCTCGTCGTCGGCGTCGTGACCACGCAGCCCTCGTTGTTATTCGCGTCGATCGAGCAGTCCGTCGAGTTGACCAGCTTGCTCGTCTGTGTCGCGTTCGCCGGGTGCGTGCAGCCCTGGACGACGTGGAGTATGTCAGCTCGCCCGGCATCGCACGCAGCGTGCAGCACTTACCGGCGCGGTGTGCAGCGCCATCTGGTTCATCGTCACCTGGTTCACGCCCTCGAACGTGTCGATCTAGCACCGGTCAGAGTCAGACCGGCAATACAGCACAGCAGCACGATCGCCCGGCGTACCTCACCGCCACTCGGCCAATCTTGTGCGGAAGACCAGAACGCCGGCCATACGGAGCACTGCACGAGCCATATCAGCGAGCGACACGGCGGCGCCAACACATGCACTGCGCACCCCGTACGGCACATGCACCATGTCCGTGATCCACATGCTCCCGACCGTGAAGTGATCCTTTGTCGAGATCCGGATGCTGTTGCGGTTGGCCCCGACGTTGAGCGTCGACGTATTGTCCACCTTCATGATCGCGTTGCCCGCGTCGTTGATGTACGCGAGCTGGTCCTGTCCGGCGGTCTTCGCGCTCAGGTAGCTACACGACGGCATCCGTGTCAGATTCCGCAGGACGTCCAGGTGCGACGCATACACTCACTTGACGTTCCCGCTGGTGAGGTTGTCATCTGCGGATGCAAATTCGCTCAGTAAATGGCCCAGACCCTTGAATAACACCAGCGAATGCGTGAGGGTGGCGCCTTTCCCGACGGCGCGATGGAAGAAGAAAAGGCGGCGCCCATGACGCAATCGACTGCACGGAACGACAGGCACGTACAATTATTGTAGAAATTCCAGTCGTCGAAGAAGCTCGCGCCCTGGTACTCCTTGACCATGGAATACTGCGCACCGACCAGCGCGGGCAGGAGGAAGGCCGTGCAGGCAAGAAGTGAAGAAGAGCGAACCATCGTCGCGTCGGTGCCTGGGATCGAGCGGCGGGGAAGACGTTGGTGGTGGTCCGTCAAGACACGGAAGGAGGGACGCGGCGAAGCTCAGCCCGGCCTTATATCACGAAAGACGAGGGAAGGAGAAGCGTCAGTAGGAGGCGTCAGCGGCCGGCGAAAGAGGGCTCCAAGGCTCGGGGAATGCGTGGGCGGTGTCAGGCTGACAGATGTGCAGGAGGAGCGTACAAGCACCGACGGAGACGCTGACCAGGGCCGCTGTCAAGTGTCGTGGGCGGTCGAGGCTCGGAAAGTGAAAAGAAGGATATGTTTGAACTTGAGAGTCCGGCATGGCGAGCGTCTTCGTACACCAGTACTGCGCAGACCGTGAGAAGGAGGAGCATCAAACGCACTGCAATCGGCTCAATTCTTCTCGCTCGCGTTCGTTCGCAGAGCGCCCACCTTTTTTGGTAGGTATTTCCAACCCCGACTGATACCATCATGCGCGACTTGTTGAGCTCGCCTTATATTAGGCCACAGATTTCAGGAACTGTACCGAATCGAGTGAGTCTACAACTTCGAATCAGTTATGGTACGGGGGGGGAGGGAAGATGAGACAAACATACCTTAGCCGTATTAGTGGTACAATGACTGAGGAGAGAAGTGGGGAGCGGGGGAGCGAGGTATAAGTATGTAAAGTAGGTATCACGTGGAGGTAGACAGAGAATGAGCTACGGTATCGGATGCGCGGATCGCGACCGCGGACGTCAAGAATCCGACACAAATGTATTCTAGAGAAACAATCTTCAAGCTTCAAGAATATACTACAATCGCTCATAGGCTGCAATTGCAGGCAGTCACAGTTGTCTAGATCATTCCTTGGATAACTTAGAGTCTTGTACAAAGCCGCATGATTGGCTATATTAATAAGTAGTATTTGCATAATCGTGAGTAAACATGAGACTTGCGATTGGCGTCGCTGTCGATCACGGGTGGCTGAGGGATCAGTCGGGGTCGAAAATACTTACCAAAAAAGGTGGGTGCTCCGCGAACGAACGAGCGAGCGACAAGAACTGAGCACCCCTCCTAAACGCACTGCAATCGGCACCCGGCCTCGGCCGACCCGATCATAACAAACCGCTCATCTCCCAATGACCACAGCATAATACTAGACGCTGCTCCCAAGGCATATATGCTCCGACAAATAGCTAATCTGTGAAGCTCACGGTAGTGGCTAGTATGGCCGGGGTGCCGACGTATGCATTGACAATCCTGGGGGCAGGACCTGTCAATATGCTACCGGTTTGCTGCACAGAAGGTTTCACCACAGAGATACTGCGGGTCATGACTACTTCAGTGATGATCGCCGTGCTTGCTGGTCGCATTGACAAGGCTTATAAATGCTTGGCAGCCAGGCCACTCGACAACTCGCAGGCAGGCCGTATATTTTATGACCTTTCTGGTGTAGGGAGGGCAGCCATAATGCAAAGGCATAAACACAGCGCGCTATTCTCGTCCACACTCAATGACAGCGCTCTGCTCGTAAAGTGGGGAGCACGGCTTGGCAGACGTGAAGGCCGATGAAACGTCGACCGATGGATCAGCAGCCACGCCAACGTCGGCGAACAGGCACCATCTTTCCCTGCGAAGAAGACGAAGAAGCAATATAGGATCCTCGTCCAGGCCTCAGGAACGACCCTCAATCTTCTCCAGTTTCGCCGATCGCTATCTTTCGACGTGTTGACCGCCGAGGGAAAGCGTCCTGCTCAAATGCGTCTGCATGCGATTCACTGCAGTACAGGAGATACATTCTGACACCTAAATTCAAACTGTCAGGCGCAGGCGCTCGAGTCCCAGTGTGTACCGCATTCCGACGAATAGCAGCCGCTTAGGGTAGGAGGACTCGTTGAGTCCGTCCGCAGATTAGGTGAGGGGCAGCATGAGGGGTTCTATCGGTGCTGACGCGGCGAGGCCGCTGCTTTATCAATCATCGGAAGAAGTCTGTCAGTTGCTTCACAATCTCCCGAGGTGCCTGGCAGACGACGGAGTCCCATTGAGTATGTATCAGGCACGTCGACAATGATATGCCAGACGGTCGGCGTCAAGGTCCAGCATGATGCCAAAGGATGCGAACGGATTCTTCGGGCCCAGGGCTTGTGTGCGGCCAGCCTGAGCTGAAGGCCGTCGCTGGCCACGCTGCGTATGTCATTGCTATGTAACATGCCTTACTATAAGTAGTGCACAACACGCCTGTGGGGGCACGTCTCCTGCCTATAAATACAGGACGTTGTTCTTCATCCAGCTCAACGCAGCAGCCGTGTCGACACGCGAATGGTCGTCGTAGGCCGTTGTTTCGTGCGCATGGCATTGCGTACTCGCCTGGAGTTGATATGGAGCAAGCAAACGAAGCTCCTCAACCTTGGGTCTCACCTCGATGGAGTCATTGTCAGTAGCTAACGGCCATCCTTGCGCATACAGCTAATCGAGGATGTAGATCCACTCATAGCAATGCATCGCATGCTTCAAGATGTACGCGACCATATTCGCTTCTCTACGAATCCTCGATGAGACACCTTGTAGAGCCAGGTAAGCATAAGGCTGAGGATCTTCAAGGCGTGCTTGTCTCTTTGACATTGACAGACGTCAATCATCTTCCGCAGACAGAAAACGGTTCGTTGTGCGGCACGACGTCCTTTGTTTTCTTGTACACCAATAGTTGATGGCAACCGATTCCTGCCTGACGGAGGGTTTGAAGCTTAAGAGGCCCGTCCGCCATGGCCCCCGATCCTCCAGCAATCCTGTTCACTCCATCCCGCACTCTCGATCACTAGAGAGTTCCAGCAACTCAGTGTCGGTCGCTTGTCGTACGGTTGACTCGACCACAGACGTCCGACAACCAAGCCGCGCCCTCCCTCTCTCACCCTCGTTCTCGCTCAAGCACTGAAACCGTATGTTCGCCGTGCCACGTTCGTCCATATTTTCACTTACGCCCTTTAGGACAGTCGACACGGACTCATCCGAACAGCCCCATTGCCGCTCCAAGCACGATGCCGTTCTCTCTCTTCCGGCGCCAAGCCACCCACTGTGATTTCTATGCGACTGCTACGCCCTCTCACGCAACCTTGATGTCACCTTCTCATGCGGCTGCTACCCCCTCGCATGTAGCTCTTGCCCCATCTCACGCGACCGCCGCTCCCGCTCACCCGGTTCTGGCCCCCGCCCATGTGGCCCTTACACCCTCCACCGCGGCCCACGTCCAAGACGGCTTCCCGGACGCACACAGAGCGCCCTGCACCCGGCTCACCATCGCGGGCACCATGTTCACGGAGGACATCGTTGACGGGCTGGCCAGACCGCTGCCCGACGGCCGCTGGACGTGCCCCGCCGTGACCGACATCGCCGTCTCGGGCTACTGCAGCGGCTTCTCGGACTGCCCGTCCACCCAGGCCGCCTTCGTAGACATGTTACGCGCCCGCCATGCCGCGGCGTTCGCGCCCCGCGGACAGCACCCCGACTGTGCGGTCGCGCCCCTCTCCCGCGTCAGGGTGAATGCGGAGGGGCTCGTCGGCATCAGCGCGGGGGCCCGGGCGTGGCTCGATGCGAATATGGCGTATGTAGAGTGGGGCGAGTGGGTGGGAGGGACAGAGTGTATGCGCGGCTCTGCTCCGTGACTTCGACGCCATTGTCGGTCGGAGACAGGAAGCTCTTGATGAGGCCGTTTCCGAGCGCTGAGTGTGGGTGTCCAGTCCCTCCTCCGACTCGCATCGCCATTTTACATGCCATGAGGCTTGGAGCAGCGACCTGGGATCGCTGATACGTTGACAGACCTCCTTGAAGACGACGCGGTAATGCGTCCTTGGCTTGTGGACGGAAGGACGGTCAGGAAGTTGAGCTGCGAACTCCGATGGCCGATAATCTAAAGCCTCTCTCACCCCTCCGACACAAGGTAGTCGTAGATCTGTGCCAGAACATAGCATTGCAGTTGGCCGTCGTGAGCAATATACGAATCTTTGAGGGCGACATCGGGACCCACTTCCTTCTCTTCCCCAGTCCTCTCATCCATGACAAGCTCCCGGGCCTTCCACACGCGTATTCCTCGCCCATGCGGCCAATTGGCTCCAGAGTCAGAGATCGGTTTGTTAGTACGAAACCACGTTTCCTCGCCATCCTCATCCCGCACCAGGATATCCACGCGTGGCGAGTTGTCCTCTGCGAGCTCGATCTCGTCCGCCGCGCCCTTGTTCTTGTGCACCACGTATGCGACGGTGGGATCCCAGCCGACTTGGTGCTCCTCGGCGTACATCAACGCCTGGAACATGTTCACGACGGTCTTGACATCCTGCATTATCCTAGCTCAGCATGAAATTACCAGTCGTCATTCAACCCCACTGCACCTGCCTTCTGCCAATAGATCCTCTCGCTGGCCACCAGGTCTGCCCGACTGGCATACCATAGGCGCATTGTCTTGTTCTCGATCGTCATACCGTACACGAATCGACGCCGGACATCCTCGCGCATGCACTGGCCCATACTCCAAACCACCAGGCGCACGTTCTACGTCAAATGCTGGCGTCAGTAACCTATAGCCCACGCCCATTCCCATGGTCTCCAACGCACATCATTTCGATCTTTCTTACTACCATGCTTGCTATACCCTGCGCAAAGCCCGATGTCCACCCACCGTGCCGCTCCTTCTTGTTCGCCGGCTTTCACAAGATATCCATATGGACGGCTCTTGGCCGATCTCGTGTTGGCCTTTGGCGCTTGGGAAGGATCCTGACGAAGTATCAAGAGCTGCTTGTCCTTGACGTGAGGACTGGCATCAGCAATGGCCTGCACAATATCTACGAGTGACTTAAAGTCGCCGCATTCATTTTCGTCGGCTTCGGCTAGACCGCCCTTCAAGCATGCCCAGCCGTCATGTACAATCTGACCCTTGTCTTTGAGCTTCTCAACCGTCGCTACAGGATCAAGGCTTCTGCGCAGCGGTGGAAGAAGAGCCGCGAAGAAGTACTCCATTCGAACCTCGGGCAGTGTGTTGCCGACATCTTGAATGATTGCATTTCGCTGAGCGATGATGTCGCTGGTCGTATAGTCTGTCCCACTGTCCGCACCTTAGGTTGCAGAGGGCTTATCATCAAGGCTGAGCACTGAGTTTCGAGGTTGTATAGTGTACACTCTCTGTCCATACTGCGGTGAATGCGCAAGGTCATTGCATGCGGGAATTTGAAGATACGGCTGTTTCCGATGACCGGACTTTGAAATATTGTGAATATCGTGGAGATTGTCGAAAGTGTATACGACGTCGGTACTGTGCTTTGCACTACGCATTACGATAATCGTCCTGTCGACTACTTCGCTTCATCCTTACACGTCTTATAGGCTACTCATCGCTTGATTCCCTTGCTAGTAGCACCTTTGATCTTCACATCGTCAACGACCCTTGGACGCAGTAAGCAAGTTCGTTGGACTCACCTTTGACCAGTCGCTCGGCAGGTACGTGTGACCGCTCGCTTTCTGCTCGTCGTAGTAGTAATTCAGCACGTACGATTTCAGTCATGCTGAATCAATATGGAGACTCTCCGAACGAGACTGTTGCGCCCCATCAGATTACCCACTCTCCCAATCCAAACCCTCGTCCTCGACGGATATCTATGGCTGACCTGCCGGATGACGTTCTAATACCGATCTTCCGTCAAGTCTTCAATTCCACAGGCCAACGCAAGCCTAAGACGGGGATACAGTTCCCAGAGTCAGTTGCCTCTGTTTGTGCGCAATGGAGGGCAGTGATGTTCTCCGTGTCGGAGTTTTGGAGCGTTTTGCTCATCGCTACCGACCCCGATTCAGACAAGCCCACGCCACTGTCAGTTGTCAGTCGATATCTCGAACTGTCGAAGGATAGACCCCTTGATATCAACATCTGTACTCGTGATAAAGCGGAGTGGCACCGGGGCCTTCCCATTGAGCAAGTGTATTCATTGCAGGCCACTAAACTTTCTATGTTGCACGTGCACGAGAAGGCTCAGGTCGCTGCTGCCATGGCCCTCCTCACCCCGCACCAGGGGCGCTGGCAAAGACTCTACGTCGATGTCGTGTTCAGCACATCCCTTCCGCGACCTCACCTCGATTTCTATGGCACCTTGCCACATCTCAGGCATCTAGTCTTGAAATGCTACTACAGTCGGGGTCAAGTCGAAAATGTCGCTCCGACCACCGGGACTCTAGAGGCATCCATTTTGGAGTCGATGGACATTTATGGGGGGGCCTTGTGCCAAATACTTGAATGTGGAACTCCAATGCTCCCCAAACTCAATGAGATCATCATTGATGCGAGCTATCACAACGGAAAATATACATTCTCACTGGTCGATTTCGTTAAGCTGCTGCATAAACTCCCATTGCTACGCACGCTTCGTTGCGATAGCGTCGAATTGGCTCCATCTGGCGATGAGCTCCCCCCACCCGACCTCGGAAGTCCTCCACAGATCGAAGAAGTGGAATTTACATACATGAACGGCAAGGATATAGAGGTGATCAGTTCATGTTTAGGCCGGCCCACAGTCACCCTTGCTCATTACAAGCGTTGCGACTTCAGGCGACAGGTCGAACTGTTCCATACATCAGGATCATGCATTCTGACAGGGATGTTCTCAGATACAGAAGTCCTGAACGTCCTGAAGGACTGGAACGGCCCACAATGTTCGACACTCCACCTCAATGATGACACCTCATTCTCGGAGGACATCATCGAAGCCTTGGCCGGGCCTTTACCTGACGGTAGCTGGATATGCCCGAACTTGACTGAGCTCATTCTTTCAGGTAACTGTGAGGGAGTTACCAACTACCAGTCGACGCAACAAGCCCTTGTGGACATGATCAAGGCTCGCTACGCTTTGAATAACAGCACAGGACTTCTACCGCAAGGACATCCTGACTATGTTGTCTCGTCTTTGAGAAGGCTCACGGTGAACGCTGAAGGATGTGTCAAGGAGATCATCGAGGCAGATCTTGAATGGCTGGACGCTAATCTTGTTTCCGTACGTTGGGGTGATTGGTCAGGGGGTAGCGGGGAGTACCTCAAGTCCAAGTCTTCGGTTGAGGGACCTGACGGGGAGACCTCCGCATAATCGGAAGTGGTGCGTCATGATCATAGCGACTCTTTCAGTTTAATCTAGACCATACTGACGACGCGACTCGGTGCAGTGGATCCTTCAGCGTACGCATCGTGCTAGGGTCGATATGTATGTTACGAGACGACGATTGATCCATCCTCGCACACGACTCGCTGTATGGATAGCAGTGGATCGCTCATCGATTACAGTCATATTGGACCGTTATAAGTTTGACTTACTTGGCTTCACAATGCGTTCATACGTTCCCTGGTAGGCAAGATGTCTTCTCAAGTGTGGGACCGCCAATCATCAATCAGCGAAATCGAGTCCATAACCGAGAGCCCAACGGCGGTATCATCTTCATTGCTGACAGCTCCTTGCCCTTCGTCCTAACCAGCCACTCATCTTCTTTCTCTCGCACAGCGCCGTCCTCCCCACCGACCAGCGAAGATCCCCAGTTCACTCACCACGTCTGTCTTCACTGCGCTGTACGTGCCTCCGCCGGCACAGACAAATCGCCCAAGCCCTTTGGTGCGGCGATGAGCTCCACAGCGATCCATGCCTCGCGCTCAACGGGCGGCAAAGTGTCAAGGAACGCCGATGTCATATCCCTGTACACGCCGTTCCTGCCGCCTTCGCGTTGCGGCTTTAGCACAAGTGACGACGCGGGTGCGCGGGTCTTCCGCACACCCGATGACTCGGACAGCTGCGGAACATTGGGTGGCATATCGACATATAGTCGAGCCCCCACATATCCGTCCGACTCGAGCAGAGCCCACATATATGTCCGCGGGAAAGCACAGCCATCCTTTCGCCAACAGGAAGCCCTTGGAAAGAGTGCGGGTATCATACTGCACTAATGTGGGCTGCCTGCGGCTATCGGGTGTCTCGACTTGATCGGCATCATCGTCTCGGGCTGTTGTTTCTTGGGCCGTTGCTTCTCGGACTGTCTGTCCGCTCAAGCTACCTTCATTCACATGATACAAAGTATAGGTTCAGTGCTCTTTCAAATGCTTTCCTGCAAGGATAGCTCCCATCTTGAGGCAATATTGACTACTGCTCGCAACTCCGCGCCCAATGCGATTATCTCTGCTCATAAATACCCTATATGCTGTACCTCCCAGAGTACATCACATCGGTATGACTTGGCCCCGGCGCGACTAGAGCGGAGTCTCAAGAAACCGCTCCTGTTGGGAGATTAACATTCACCTCGATCGCCTGTTAGTAATGCCGTCATTAATATATTCTTGACAACTTACGTGTCTGCCACGGCAAAGCCGAGCGTCCCGCCTGCATGTGCAAATCATTTCGACTTTGCGCCGCATCCTCCTCCGAAGTAACTATTTAACCGCCCCAGCAGGCACTACATACAATAGTGTAGGCCTTGTATCAAGATGGCCTCGCAATTCATCTCGGATTACGCAACGCTCTTCAGCGTCGAGGGCCTTGTGGCAGTGGTGCTACTGGTATGCCGCAACAATGCAGCCAGTTGGTGGCTGTGTACTGACGCATCCAAGGGATCGGCCTCATGATCGCGACTGCGCTGGAGAACAACGGGGCGATCGTCTACATTGTCGGTCGGCGGCAGGAAGCTCTTGACCAAGCCGTCAAGGAGCGCAGTGTGCGTGTTCGGTTCTTCTTTCGACTCGTACCACGTTCTTACACGCGATCTGCAGAAGCACGGCAACATGATCGCGCTGAAAGGCGACATTACAGACCGTGCATCATTGGAAGCTCTCGCAGCGCAGGTGAAGGCGCGTCACGGGTACATCAATTTGCTCGTCAACAACGCGGGTGTGCTGATCGGCAAGCAGCCCAAGCTGCCGACACCCGCTGAGGCTGGCGGTGACATCACACGCCTACAAGATGCGCTCTGGGGTGCTGAGAGCTTTGTCACGTTCGGGCAGACATTCCACGTGAATGTGTCGGGCGTTTGGTTCTGTACCGTCGCGTTCCTCGAGCTGCTTCATGCGGGAAATGCTCGGAGCGAGGATTATGGCGTCACAAGCCAGGTGATCTCGATCTCGAGCGTCGCGTCAATCCGCAAGGATTCGGGTGTGTTCAGTCTCGGGTACACGCTCAGTAAAGCGGCCGTGACGCACCTGGGTAAGATGATGGCGCACTACTTGAAGGACTGGCAGATCAGGAGCAATGACATTATCCCGGGTCTGTTCCCGTCTGGTGTGCACCCCTTCACTTATTGTGCATCGCTGGCGCGAGACTGAACAACGCTGTAGAAATGGCAAACGACTTGGTGTCAGAATAAATGATCAAGTCAACAGTACCGCTGCAGAGGGCTGGGAACACCGATGATATGGGGGGCCTCGTAATCTACCTAGCCAGTAAAGTGAGAGCGTCTGTCTACAATTTCTCGGTGGGGGGATTGACAATGCACGTGCACAGGCTGGAGCTTACGTTGATGGATGCGTGCACCTTATTGATGGTGGCCGAATTCTAACTATGGCCTCAGTGTACTAGACATACGCACACTTGAGTGGTACGCGAGATCTCAATGTGATTGGTAAGTCAACTCATATGCTCATATTTTGGCCCAGATCGATGCATGTGCAGACAACCTTGTAGAGACAAAACAGGAAATAAAACATCCTGTTTCATGTCGTTTCATCAGGACATTGCCTCAGGCTCTTACGATAGGTCGTGGCTGCTCATCAGAGCAAGTACTCTCCATGGCATAGATGTTAATACTTTTGAGCATCCTTTCAAGAGCTTGAAAAATCCGTATACAGCACGCTATATCCCCGCTGTTGATGTGCGGGACCTCGGTCGTGATGACATTAGCAGGCTCATGAAGGCGGTCATTCGGGAATCAGAGTGACAGAGTCGGGATATCTTCCGCCATGCAGATAATGCAGATGAGAAGAATCTGACTCTCGAATACGTTGGTGACGGTGCCTGAGTTACAGCTTAGGTCGGACCCGATGACGGCTCTCTTGAGCCCTGCTGTTGGCAGTAAGTCGCATGCGGCTTCTCGATTCGACACCATCTGATAAACGTCATCAGGCTCCATGCAGAGCCAAAAGGAAGCGAAGCTCGCCAGTATGAACTTGAAATCCCCTGGACTCAAGTCTGGCCTGCCAGCGTCGCCGACAGCGTGCAATTTCTCGGCCAACCGACCATCTCTCAATCTTGAGACCAGCGCGAATGGTTACCTATCTCCTGACACGGCGAACTTACCCTCTGCGGAGGGAACGGCCCTACGGCTACTCTTGCACCAATGCCGGTGAAGCGGTCGTGCTTGTCTCGTTAGTATGTACATTTATAATCCCTCCAATGTACCCAGGTTTATCTATTCATTTCAAACTCACTCACCCGTAGGCGCTGGATGATACAACGGTCTATACTCCTATATTGATGCCTGACTCGTAGGTGACGAGCGAGGACTTATGGACAGTACGTTGTCCTGAAGATCGAGCAAGGAAGTCGAGAATGACCACTACTCCAAGCGAAGAGGAGCAGAGACTTGAATGAATAACCAGGTCGAACTTAGAGTTCAACCGACTAATGGTACAACTACTTATACAAGTACCGACTGCGCACGGACCATTGTGTCTATGTGGTCATGTTAGTGAAGAAAGAAATGTAGTGGTACGATGCCGAGTACGAAGTGCGCACGGACCCCATTATGTAAGCTACATAATGTTCAACCTGCGGGTGAGCGCTAAGACAGGCGCCAGTATGGGTGCTAGTAGTACAAGGAATAGAACGGAAAGACAAATGTTTCATTACCCCCCTGTCAGAGTCGAAGTCCCATTCGACTACTTACTGCTCACCATCTCCATACAACTCCCAATCTACGCCGTCCTCCTCCTCTTCGTCGAACCACTCCTTGCGCGCGTTCCTCCCTACGTTCGTCCATTCCTCGCCAGAGAGGTGCTTCTGATTTGGCCAGGAGCTGTCCCACGTCCATTGAGTGGTGTCGGGTGTCCAGTTGGGGTCAACTTTGCGAAAGACGATGGGTGTATCGGGGCGGGGGCGCGAAGGTCCCGCGACGGGACTGGTCGGGGGTTCGGGGTTAGCGCTGCGCGGTGGAGGAATAGGTACCGCTTTCGTCTGCCTCTCTTTCTCCTTCCTCTCCTTCGCCTCGTTGATGATTTCCTCGAGGAACACGTTGTCGATGACCACCCCCACGCGTCACGCAGGTTCTTCAGGTGGTGCGGATACATGTCGCTTCATCGGCCTGGTTCCACACTCTCGCTCCAGGTGTCCAGGGGCTTCTTTTCCGCATCCTGTGCATCGTACGTCCGGACAGTCCCGTACCCAGTGTCGAGATGATCTGCATCGCCTGCAGCTTCCCTTCGGGGTCCAACCAGGGTTGGGTTGCCAGTCAGCCGGGATGGTAGTGCTCCACGGCGTTGCTTGGAGGAAAGGGAATGGGATCGGGGGGCGCCTGAAGGCTGTCGTCAGTAGGGGTGCGGGTAGGGGTAAGTACGCGTTGGGGATGGCGCGCGGGATGAATTTGTTGTGTCGGGCCCGGATACTGCGCGGCAGGAGTGGTTGAAAGTGATGGGCAACTTTTAGATTATCAAGCCGGATGAGCTCGGTGAGGACGCGGTCATCCTGTTGGCGTAGGAGTCGTTTGTGGTGGTCGATGGCCTCGTCGGCTGCCTTGACAGCCTCGTCGTAGTCGCGGCGGGCGGAGAGATACGCTTCTAGTGCAGCGCGGTCGGTGGCATTGGTTGCTTCAGGGTTGTGGGCTTTGAGCTTGTTGAAAATGTCGGTGGGATTACTGAGAAGGAGCATCAGCAAGGTGCTGTCGCCGACGTGGGTGTGCTTAGGGGTGTAGATTGAGAGCCTTTTCCTGCCTTCGGTCGAGGGGGCATTGAACTGGTCGAGGAACGAGAGGGTGGAAGACATGTTGGTGTGAGTGGGGATGTAGCGACTGGGTAGAGCTGCTATCGATTCAGCTCAAGTCCTTCCTGTTTTTATACTCTGCCAACACTTCGTCAGCCGTTCCAGTCAGGTTCGCTTCGGGCTCCCATGAATCATCGGCTGTTGAGTAACCCTTCCACCTGACGCGATATTCACGGCGCCGCATCCTCTTGTTCTCTCAGTGTCCGATGATGGCTTCGACTTTGTAGTTATCTTCGCCCTCGATAAGGTCAGGAGGTGGCCTCGTGTAGTTCGGACCATGGATCTCCATTTCTGAATAAGGGGATAGAAGCCATTCGTGGAAAACGGGGTGGACTCGCCAGGTGCTAGGCAAGTCTAGCTTGTACGTGACCGTTCCGATCTTGTCTAGGACTTTGAATGGCCCTTCTCGCCTCGGGGCTAGTTTCCTGGACGGTGATACGACCTATGAAACCCTAACCCCTAACCTGGGTGCGACCTAAAGGGACTAGAGAGACGGATTATAGTCTAGTGAGAGGGGAGTTAGCAGCAAGGTGTCCCGCGGTTCGAGTGAACACGAGAAACACCCTTGGAAAAGGCTACGAACAACGGGGAAGGTACGAGGTGGCTTCGACACGTCGTCGAAGCTACTCGGAGGCTGTGGATGGTTAGTGGAGAGGATCGAAGCTCGGCAGAGCTCTTCGATGTATCGTAGAAGGAAGGGACACGACTCGATAGGGGGGACTTAGCTAGGACGCGGTTCGCAGTTTCTTCGACAATAGTCGAAGTCGAAGGGTTCGTCGAGACGGTATCGACGAGTAAACGCAGTGGACGAGGTTTCGAGGTTACGCAGCGAGGGACGAAGTGACGCAGTTAGAGGCTTTAGACGCGGGGCGAACTCGACTTATGAGCTCTGAACTCGAGGGGGGAACCGGATCTTGTATTTTTGGAGAGAAGTACGACAGAATTTATACTACACAGGACGCTACGACTATCGAAAGTGGCACGAAGTACAAGGG